GAGCATTTCCCAGGGGCACCTGAGTGGCTCAGTCAGCAGAACGTGGGACTCTTGATCTCAGGGTCATGAGTTCAAGCCCCACATTGGGTGTGGAACCTACTTAAAAAAAAAAAAAAAAAAAGAAAAGAAAAAAGTTAAAATGAGCATTTTCTATGACCTGGCAGTTCTGCCAGAATCTACCCAAGAGACACCCTCACACAGGTGCAAGTGGAGACATGTACCAGAACATTCACTGTAATATTGTAATAGCAAAAAAAAAAAAGGAAATAACCCAAATATCCACCAAAAGAATGGTTAACTAAGACTTATTCATACTAATATGCAAGAGTGAAAAAGAATGGGCTAAGTGAAAACAAATTGCTATGAAAGTATCTCCAATAGAGGCTCCTGGGGGCTCAGTTGGTTAAGTGTCTGACTCCTGATTTTGGTTCAGGCATGATCTCATAGTTTGTGAGTTTGGGCTTCACGCTGCCTGCTTGGGATTCTCTCTCTTTCTCTCTCCCTCACTCTCTGCCCTTGCCCTGCTCATGCTCTCCCTCTCTCTCAAAATAAAATGAATAAACTAAAAATAAATAAATAAATAATCTCCAACATAGTTTTGAGTGAAAAGACAAGGGTGCAGAATGAGGTACATATTACATCATTTTCTTTAAACACACATGCAAGAACAACTTAAAAATATTTTTTCTATGGCAATGGATACTTGTGGGGCTATGGTTAAAGAAACCCTTACCCTTTAAGGGCATCCGGGGTGGCTCAGTTGGTTAAGCGTCCGACTTTGGCTCAGGTCATGATCTCACAGTTTGTGAGTTCAAGCTCCGCGTTGGGCTCTGTGCTGACAGCTTGGAGCCTGGAGTTTGCTTTGGATTCTGTGTCTCCCTCTCCCTTTCTGCTCCTCCCCTGCTCACTCTCTGTCTCTCAAAAATAAACACGGGGGGGGGGGGGGGCGGGGAGGAGCCTTTACCTTTATCGCTATAAATCACTTAAGTAATTATTTTACAAAGAGACGTCATCATATATTAACTGCATAATTAAAAGTTAATAACAATAATTAAAGTATATATGGCTTGGTAGGTTCACTCTTTCCCAGACCAGAGAATTTCAGTTATCCCAATGTAACAAAGAAATGAGAACGTCTACAGGAAAACGTCATCATAGGTGGGGGGAAAAACTGAGCTTGGTTAACACTAGTAGATATTTTAATACTCCAGGGGAGCTGATATTTCACTGTAGGACCATCTTTTTCCCCAGCAACATATGGACAGAAACGCAAGAATTAGCATACAGCCAGTATATAAAACAACCAGGTTTTGATAGTAAAATACAAAGGCCCAGTTGTCACTACAAACCCAGCTCTTCATTGGCAAAACCGGCTTTTAGTCGATTTTATCCCATTTCTTGGTGAACAAGAGACACAAAATTGATGGGCAAGCATTGCCACCTAGTGGCTGTGGCTCACATTGCAGAATTCATCACTGTGCCTCTTGTCCTCTTAATCTCAAACTAATGCTTCTATCTTTTGGATATACCTTAACAGTCAAATGTTTTATAAACTCAAGAGACCAGCGGCAGCTGGCTGGCTCAGTTGATGGAGTACATGACTCTTGATCTCGGGCCCCATGTTGGGTGTAGAGATTACTTAAAAAAATGGTTTGTTTTTTTTTTTTAATTTTAAAATTTATTTATTTATTTTTGAGAGGGGTAGGGGGAGAGAATCAATCCCAAGCAGGCTCTGCGCTGTCAATGTGGAGACCGACATGGGGCTCAAATCCACGGACCATGAGATGAAGACCTGAGTCAAAATCAAGAGTCGGATGCTTAACTGACTGAGCCACCCAGGCACCCCTAAAAAAATCTTTAAAAAATAAATAAATTTAAGGGACCTACGTAGGGTTATCAATTAAAAAACATTTTTTTAATGCTTATTTATTTTTGAGAGATAGTGAGACAGAGTGTGAGCAGGGGAGGGGGAGAGGGGGAGGGAGAGAGGGAGGGAGAGAGAGAGAGACAGACAGACAGACAGACAGAATCCGAAGCAGGCTCCAGGCTCTGAGCTGTCAGCACAGAGCCCGAAGCACCGAGATCATGACCTGAGCTGAAGTCGGAAGGTTAACTGACTGAGCCACCCAGGCACCCCTGGGTTATCAATTTTTAAATTCTGACAAGTAAGGATGTTTTAAAAGCATAATGTATCATCATGGCCAGTAAAAGAACAGATACTTGAGGCCATGAACTCAGATAAAAGGATGGTCCTGTTTGTGCAAGAACAGTTGAAAACCGGATACACACTTCATGAATAAGCATTCTATAACTATATTAATAATTGAGATGGTTAATTATGCTATTAAATACATCAACTTGACTGGGCTATGGGATGCCCAGACGGACGGTTAAGCATTATTTCTGAGTGTGTCTGTGAAGGTGTTTCTGGAAGACATTATTAGCATTTGAATTGGCAGACCAGATAACGATCGCCTTCTCCAATGTGTGGGCCACACCCAACCACTGAGGGTCCAACCCACTGAGGGCCGGAATGGAGCAAAAAAGGCAGAGGAAGGTTGAATTCTCTCTGCCTGGCTGTTTGAGCTGGAGCGTCAGTCTCCTGACCTTGACCTGGGACTTACACCACTGTGCCTGGTTCTCAGACCTTTGTACCCAGACTGGGAACTATACCTTTGGCTCTCCTGAGTGTCCAGCTTGCAGGTGGCTCATGGGACTCCCGTTTCTACTAGTTCTGTTTCTCTGGAGAACCCTCACCAATGTGATAACATTTACATAATTCTTCTTCATCAATATATGTCTCAGATTGATAAATAAAAGCAGAGCTGGAGACAAGATCTTGTACACAGATACTTAATTTGGGAGGTACCAGGAGTGAAAGGGCAGGGAAAGTTAATGTATCATATTGTCCTTTTTTTTCTTAAATGTTTATTTATTTTTGAGAGAGAGCAAGAGAGAGAGAGAGAGAGGCAGAGACAGAGAGTGAGCAGGGAAGGGGCAGAGAGAGGGAGACACAGAATCTGAAACAGGCTCCAGGCTCTGAGCTGTCAGCACAGAGCCCGACGCGGGGCTCGAACCCACAAGCTGTAAGATCATGACCTGAGCCGAAGTCAGATGATTAATCGACTGAGCCACCCAGGCGCCCCAATACTGTCCTTCTTACATACAGGCAAACTGCCTTTGAGCGTCTTTACCATTGGAATTGAAAAACCCATCCACCAGATCAGTATCCCATAGTTAAGTTCCAGAAGCTGTGTTGATCTGGCCCAGTAAAACGCTACCCTTGGCACAGCAGTGATGATTGGGCTATATGCCCTTGGCTAAGTTTATGTAGTTTATTACCATTGCCTGCCATGCTCCATCTGGTTTTTGCAGGAGCCAAACAAGTGAACTGAATGGGGTTAAGACGGGGAACCACCACCCCTGAATCCTCATCTTTGAAGATGGCACTCAGGTCTACAATGCCACCCGGGCTTGCAGTATGGCTTCTGATTTAATGCTGGCTGTGTCAAGACAGGAGGAGGGAACCAATACAAGTTGCTGAGTATGTCTGTCCCAGTTGTGTGCTCAGAACCAAGGAAATTTCCACAGGGTGGGTCCATGCACACCCTGACCCACTGAGAGACATGCCTCTGCCTGGCCCCATAAGCTCCCACTCTAACTGGGGTCCTTTCTAGCGTTTCAGGTTCTCTGGGGTCACTGCACACATTTCTCCAGTGTATAACTCTGGTAAATAACCATAAATGCCTTTGGGGAAGGATTAGAGTATTGCCTCTACTTGTGCTGGCTCTATGGGTCCTTCCTCTAGTGGATTCTACCTCCCTTACAATTGCTGGACTCTGGTCTGAGAACCGGGTCAGATTTTTTCTGGTTCCTCAAGTCAAGGCAGCACTGTAGCTGTCGGCCCTTATACCTCATTCTTTGGAATATCGTGGTCAGACAGTCAACGGCATAGATCGCTGGTGTCATGGCCACTGCGGTTGCCACCCTGTCCTCGCTTCATCTACCAAGTCTACCTACCTTACCTGTGACGACGAAGTCCAGCTACCTGGCTCTGCTGTTCTGGAACGCTACCATCCTCTGGGGTCCCCAGTTTCGGGACAGTCTGTCCTCAGCATTAGGGACTAGTATTTGGGAACATCTATCATGGATCATAACGGGCTGTAAGAGGTCAAGTCTAGATATCTCATTCACTTAAAAAAATTCATTTCACGTTTTGATTTTTTTCTTTTTAAACCTTCCTATAGAGGTGTGATCCAGAGAAAAGGACACAACTTGCTAAACATACCTATCAAGTCAGTAGCAGAGTCAGGACTAGACCCAGGTCCCCAGGTTCCTTCACGGAACTTCTGAGGTGCCGGATCTTAGCAGGAGTCTGCCAGACATCTGCAGGGAAGAGGGCGGCGGGAAGAACATTCGAGGCACTCTGTGCAAACCAGGGAGGCCTGAAGCGGCCCTGGGATTCGGAAATTACAAGTAAAGCTACCTGACTCCAGTGGCGTGCGGGGCTGTGGGGCGAGTTGAGCTGGGGAAGAGGAAGCACTCTGGAAGGCTGCAGAGTCAGGGTCAGGGTCAGCGCCCGCGCCCGTAAAAGCTGCACTCTAGCGCGCTCTGGCTGGAGCACGACTGGTTGTCCTGGAAGCGGACGGGAAGGCTGCGACAAGGCAGGAAAACAGGGACAAGGGGAGACCACCACAAGGGAGTCGCGCAGAGCGGGCCACCCCTAAGTTTTACCTCTGCTAATCGACAAGCAACAAAGGCCTTCCGCTTCTGCTCCTGCCGGAGCTCAATAACGAGGCGTTCCGCCAGCTGCGCAGCTCGGACACCCGCCGCGCTCAGGAGCGCAGGTCAGTGACCGAACTCCCAGCCCGGCACTCCGCCCACTTAGGCCCGCCGCTCCCCGGTTCCGCCCCGCCCCCCGCCTCCCTTCAGCCAATGGCAGCCCTCGGCGCCTTTGCCTTCAGCCAGTAGTCGACCTGGCCTCGGACTCTGACGTCACGGAGTGGGGCCAAGGGTCACGCAAGATGGCGGCGCCCAGGAGGCGCTGAGGCGTGGAGCTGAGGATGGGGCTGGCGGCGCTGGCCGCCAGGGCTCGGCTGGGGTGGCGGCTGAGCGGGTCGGGACCGGAGCTGAGGCCGGGGCGAGGGCATTGGACTGCGGCCGGGCGCTCGCGGAGCCCGCGCGAGGCAGACACGCCCGTGTTCCAATATGTGGGCGAGCGCGCGGCCCGTGCCGACCGCATCTTCGTGTGGGGCTTCAGCTTCTCGGGGGCGCTGGGCGTGCCCACCTTCGTGCTGCCCGGCGCCGGGCCCGAGCCTCGCGCCGGCTCGCGGCCGCGACGCAGGATCCAACCTGTGCCCTACCGCCTGGAGCTGGACCAGAAGGTGCGGGCCGCGCCTCCCTCTCTCGGTCGCGCCCTCCGGCCTCCGCCGCTGCTCCCCGAGGCCCTCTGCGAGAAGTTGGGAAGCCGGGTGGTCCGACGTCAGGGAGGAGGACCCTCGAGCGGGCTGCAGGCCCGGCCGGGGAAGGCGTTAGGGCGCTGCTCGCATTTATCGATTGGCCGAAACGTGCGTGCCCGTTTTGTGCCCGACTGGCGTCCTTCGCACGTCACCCCCGGAGTCTGGGTTGTGATCAGTTACAGTTTAATTTCGTTGTGGCTACAGAATATACCTTCTTTACTTTCAGCCCTCTTAAACGTATCGAGACTTTGTTTCGTAGCCTAGCGTACCGTCTACCCTAGAGAATGTTCCACGTGTGCCTGAAAAGGGATGTGTGTTCGGCTGTTGGCGGAGTTGATGTCAGGTCAAGTTAGTCGGTAACTTCTCCGCTAAAATATTATTTGCTCAGGCAGCTGCAGTGTTCGTCGTTAGCCGCTGATTGTTTTCAACAAATATCCCTGGGGGTAAAGGCTGTTCGCACCGAGTGATATCTGGGTCAGGTCAAATCAATGGAGCCTTGTGAATGGAGTCTTCCGGGGATCCACCAGACAGATGGATGGGAATGCTCCGGGAGTGGAGCTTTGAAGTTGCTTCAGTCCCTTTCTGACCCCTCCAGTGGCTGCAAGACCGCTGGCTTGCGCTGTGATTGTGAGCTGTTGGTTTTCAGAGCCACTGCAGAGCTGAGCAGAGGTGGATGGGAATAGGTCAAGTTAAAATGCTGCAGAGCTTGCGGTTTCTTACTGAAACGCAGCTGCTTTTCTTGAGTAAACATTCCCTAGATTGCTTAAAGTCTTTGGGTAATTTTCAGAGTTCTGAAAAAATTGGTTCTGACGCTTGCCAGTTCTTTGTTGCCCTTCCATTTTCACTGATGTCACTCAGTCCATGTCCTTTTAATGTAATTACCGAGGTGGTTGGATCACATGTGCCATTTTGCTATGTCTTTCTTGTTTCTCTGTTCGTCCTTTGCTCCCTTCTTTTGTGTTAAATAGGTATTTTTTGTGTGTATTTCTTTTGTGTTAATAGGTATTTTGTGTTAAATAGGTATTTTTCTAGTGTACCTTTTAAATCCCTTTGTTGGGTGTTTTGCTGTACATTTGAGGAGGTCTTTCTTGAGGTTATAATATCTGTCTTAACTTATCATAGTCTACTTTAGGTTAATAGTGACCTAATTCTGAAAAAAACTAGAGCAACTTTGTTCGAGCAAAGCTCCATTTCTTCCTCTCCTCTTTATGTGGTTATTGTGATACACATTACATCTTCATACATTTTAAGCCCAGTAATCCAATTTTACCCTTATCATTTTATGCAATTGTCTTTTAAATCATTTAAGGGACAAAAAGAGAAGAGATTTATTCATGCAGTGCTTTATAGTTACCCTTATAATTCCGCTAACGGGTGCTCTGTCATTTCATTTCAGCCTGAAGGCCCCCCTTCAGGACTTGTTAAGGCAGGTTTACTGAATTCGCTCAGTCTTTGTTTGGGCCTTTCCTGCTATCAGAATTCATTCTTGGTGGACAGTTTTTATCTTTTCAGCACTTTGAATATGTCATTCTGGTTTCTGGTCTCCCTTGTTTCTGATAAGAACTTAGCTGTTAAACTTATTGTTACCTTGTCCTTGCTGAGTCCATTTTCTTTTGATGCCTTCAGGATTTTTCTCTTTGCCTGTCAACAGTTTAACTGTGATTTATTGAGTAGCTTTGATCTGCAGATTTATGTTTTCACAAAATTTGTAAGTTTTCTGCCATTTTTTAAAGTTTTTTTTTTTTTTTTTTTTTTTTTTCCCTCCTCCTCCCCTTTCTCTCTTGCCCTCCTGGGACTCTAATTACATAGATGTTGGTACACTTGATGTTGTGTCCTAGGTCACAGGTCTCTGAGCCACTGTTCTTTTTTCTTCTTTTTACGTCCTGTTCTTCGGAATGAATAATTTCACTTGATATTTCTTCAAGTGAACTGCTTCGTTCTTCTGCCATCTCACATCAGCTGCTGAGCCTGTTAGAGAATTCTTTCTCTTTGTTACTGTACTTTACAACCCTAGAAATTCCGTTTAACTTTTTAAATTTGTTTTTTTTCAACGTTTATTTATTTTTGGGACAGAGAGAGACAGAGCATGAACGGGGGAGGGGCAGAGAGAGAGGGAGACACAGAATCGGAAACAGGCTCCAGGCTCTGAGCCATCCGCCCAGAGCCTGACGCGGGGCTCGAACTCACGGACCGCGAGATCGTGACCTGGCTGAAGTCGGACGCTTAACCGACTGCGCCACCCAGGCGCCCCTCCGTCTAACTTTTTAAAGTAGGCTCCGTATCCACCGTGGGGCTTGAACTCATGACACTGGGATCAAGAGTCAGATGCTGTACCCATTGAGTCAGCCAGGTGTCCCTCCCCCCCCCCCATTTAACTTGTTAATGTTTTTATTTTTACATTCAGATTCCATAGCTGTGAAGTCATTGTCATCATGTTTTCCTTTCGTTCTTTAAACACGGTTTTAAAATATTCTTTGAACAATGGTTTATTGAAGTCTTTGATAAATCCAGCATGTGTCCCCTTAGTGTTGGTTTCTGTCAGCTGCTTTTGTCCCTTCTGAGTAGTTCACACTTTGTTTCTTTGTAATTCTTTTACTTTTTGGTTAAAACCTGGACTTCTGGGTGATACTTTATAATGACTTTGGATTCTGATATTTTTCCCTTGAGGTTTTTTTGTTTGTTTGTTTGTTTTTTGGTTTTTTAAGTAACTTGTATGTACTTCATCTGTAGAATCCATCTCCCCTGCGGTGCATGGCCACTGATGTCTTTGTTCAGGCTTTTGATTTGTCTCCCTCCCCCTCCTTTTTTTAGCCTGGCTTCTTGAGTGTCGCCCCCATCCGTGTACTTTTCGGTCAGCCGATGACTTGGGCAGAGGTTGTGCTCAAACGCTTTGGGCTTCTAAGGTTTCTACCTTCTACCTTTGATCCTGAGTATAGGTTTGGAGACCACGTTCAGCGATCAGGCTGTTCTCATGTCTGCCTCAGCTTTACGTGGCCCTGGGTGCTCAGGTCTCCCATGTCCCCTCGTGGAGTTTGCCTGTCAGCCGTGGATGTGTGGAGAGCCTTCTGTGACAGCTTCATTTCTAGGATCGTTCCATTACCCTTCTGGCTGGTCTTCCTCTCCCCTTGCCCCGGTCAGGATCGCAACCACAGACTGGCTGAGTTGTGGGTTTGCTTTCCTTGTTTGTTTCCCGCTGAGTTCACTACCAGGCATGAGTTTTCACCTTACATCCTAAAGTAAGTCTTTCCTTCCTGGCCACAAAGGTGATCAGCCCTGGCCTTTTCAAACTTGTGCACTGAGCTGGAGTAGATGGTACAGCCCAAGACGGGAAATCTGCGGACTCCCGCTCTTGTTACCTGAAGTTCTAGCAGTCTTTCACAAATAAACATTTCCTCCTCTTTTTTTAATGTTTATTTATTTATTTTCAGGAAGAGAGAGCATGCACGCAGGGGAGGGGCAGAGAGAGAGGGAAGGAGAGAATCCCAAGCAGGCTCTACACTGTCAACCTGACGAGGGGCTCGAACTCACAAACCGTAAGATCATGACCTGAGCTGAAATCAAGAGTTAGTTGGATGCTTAACCAGCTGAGCTACCCCAGCGCTTCACAAGTAAACATTTCGCAGTCTATTTGCCTTTGATTTCTCCATCCCTGAAATGGTTGAGGTTTTTTTGTTTGTTTGTTTTTGGTTGTTGTTGTTGTTTCACAATTTTGTCCAATTCTGTACTTTTTTGGGGGGGAGAGATTTGCTAACCTCTTCATACCGCCATAGTTGGAAGTCCCCCGATGGCACGTTACCACAAAAATTATGTAATGCTGACTGTGTGTAGGTATCATTCAAAGTCCTTTCGCCTGTTAGTAGATTTAATATTAAAGTAGGTACTTAGGAGATATTTGTTGACTGTTGAATAAACAGATGATCACAAGCAAAGAGAATAGTTGTAGTGTGCCGGGTATCACCTTAGGATTTATTCCTTTTCTGTGTCTCCTGCTTCCTCACTGGGTCATTTCTGTGGAGTTGGAGCCATTCCAGAAGTGTAGGGGCTCCAGAAGGCCAGAGAACTGAGGTTTTTTGAACATGGCTGCATGTGTGTAAGTTCCATACGAAAATTGTGGGAGAAAATATCACACGGCAACAGGAGGGGAAAATCACATGTGGGTGACAACAAAACAAGGCAAAAGCAAACCACATTTAAAAGAAATATTTTGGGGGCGCCTGGCTGGCTCAGTCGGAGGAGCACACGACTCTTGATCGCAGGGTTGTGAGTTTGAGCCCTGTGTTGGGTATAGAGATGACTTAAAAAAAAAAAAATGTTGGGGTGCCTGGGTGGCTCAGTCAGTTGAGCATCCGACTTCGGCTCAGGTCACGATCTCGGGATCCGTGAGTTCGAGCCCCGCATCGGGCTCTGTGCTGACAGCTCGGAGCCTGGAGCCTGCTTCCGATTCTGTGTCTCCCTCTCTCTCTGCCCCTCCCCTGCTCATGCTCTGTCTCTCTCTGTCTCAAAAATAAATTAAAACATTAAAAAAAAATCTTAAAAAAATAATAAATAAATTCACCGTAGCTGTGATACGAATTCTTCTTCAGGCACTGGTTTGAGAATGTCACAGTGCCACATAAGGGTTAAGAGCATGCTCTCTGGAAGCAATAGCCTGTAGTTAATCTCTAGGAACCTCAGTTTTCCCATCTGCAGAGTACTGTTATTACTACAACAATAATAATTACCAGGACATTGTAGAGCTCTAGGTGAAGTCACATACTATTTATCATAAGGCTTCAGCTTTATTAACTCATTTAGTCCTTACAACAACCCAGTACGAGAGACACTATTACTATTTCTGTTTTATAGAGAGGTGATCTGTCTCAGGTCACAGAGCTGGTAAGGGGTAGACCTGAGATTCAAACAAAGGCAGTTTTCACTTTACTACCATGTAAGACCGTGTCGTGGTGAATGGGGTTGATGATAATAACTCGTTCTCTGGTGTTTATGAAGATTAAGTGAGATACTACATATCAACACGATAAATGTTCGGCAAATGTTAGTCGCTATACTTGGGGTACCTGGCTGGCTCAGTTGGTAGAATATGGGACCCTTGATTTCAGGGATTGTAGTTCGAGCCCCATGTTGGGTGTAGAGATTAATTAAAAAGGAAATCTTAAAAATGTTAACTCGCTACGTTAATAGCACGTGTTCTTTGGGTAAAGAACCTTCATTTATTGCTGAGAAAACTCGATTATCACAAATCAGTGTTTCATGGAACTCTTTTTCAGATTTCATCTGCTGCCTGTGGCTACGGATTCACATTGCTGTCCTCTAAAACCAAGGATGTTACGAAAGTCTGGGGCATGGGACTCAACAAAGATTCCCAGCTTGGATTTCACAGGAGCCGCAAGGATACCAGTGAGTGTTCTCACCTTGGCTTCCCTGTGCCGTGATTGGTCTGAGAGAGCTCCCTTTTGTTTTCCAGAACATGATTACATAAGCCAGACTGGGACAACAGAAGAGATAGCGTCTTAAACGGATGTTATTTGAGACCATCTGGACTAGATTATCAGCCTCATTGGGAAGAACACTGAACCTTTAGGCTAAAGAGCATTTGCTGATAAGCAAGGATATTCCTCTTTTTGAGTCTAGTTTATAACTCATCCTTTATCATGGATACATACGTACAGGAAAGAACAGTATATATGGGGTTTGGTCCTATCTGAGGTTTCAGGCATCCACTGGGGGTCTTGGAATGTATCCCACACGGTTAAGGGGGGCCGGCTGTACCTTTACTGCCTGGATAAACCTTTTTGTTGTTTCCTTGTTCTCTTAGTCATGTGCCTTTTTTTTGCACAATTTGGATCACTGTGTGTTTTCTGCCTTTTCCCACTTAGTTTTATATCGAGAGTCTTTTATAAGTCAGTCCTGAAGTCTCGGCTGTGAGATGCCACATTCCATTTGCTGTGCCCTTTACTGGGAGCACCTAGAGGCACGCACAGACATGGGCCGAGTCCTGTAAAGCACGCCATGTCCTGTGGCCAGCTTCATTTTCCAACTCAATCCTGATTTGTTTTGAAGCAAATCCCAACATTGTTAATTTCATTAGTAAACATTTCAGTATGTATCTAAAAAATAAATAAATAAAAGACCCTTAAAAAACGGCAAGTGCATAAAAATAACGAACAACACAATCCCTTCATATTATCAAATATCCAGTCAGTGTTCAAGCGGTCAGTTGTCTCATCAATGTCGGTAGATTTTTATTTCAGTTTTTAAACATTTGTTTGAATCAGTATCCAGATAAGGTCCCTGCATTGCAATCAGTTGATAAGACCAATGTACGCATGTATGTACGGATTTATTTATTTAAGTAGACTCCACACCAGCGTGGGGCTGGAACTCAGGGGACACCAAGAGTCACAGGCTGTCCCGACTCAGCCAGCCAGGCGCCCCCCGTTGATAAGACTTCTTTTAAGTCTATTTTAATCTTTTTTTTCCTTGAAGCTTATTGGCTGAAGAAATGACTTTGGCAACGAAGTCATCCAGCTTTATTTGTGAAACAAAGAAACGAGGGGCGCCTGGCTGGCTCAGTCGGTTGAGCAGAGACTATGTAAAAATAAAATCTTTAAAAAATAAAAACAAAAAGAAGAGAAATCACATTGGTTACCCTATAGAATTCTCCAGTCTGGAGTTTGCTGAATGTATCCCTGTGGTGCCATTTAACACGATCCTCTGTCCTCTGTATTTCCTGTCAATTGATGGCTGCATTTATTTTTTATTTTATTTTATTTTATTTTTTAATTTTTTTTCCAACGTTTATTTATTTTTGCGACAGAGAGAGACAGAGCATGAACGGGGGAGGGGCAGAGAGAGAGGGAGACACAGAATCGGAAACAGGCTCCAGGCTCTGAGCCATCAGCCCAGAGCCCGACGCGGGGCTCGAACTCGTGGACCGCGAGATCGTGACCTGGCTGAAGTCGGACGCTCAGCCGACTGCGCCACCCAGGCGCCCCGATGGCTGCATTTAGAGCCGAACCCACCCACTGACTGTCCAACCCTTCCCTCTTTCCTTCCTTCCTTCCCTCCCTCCCCTCTTTTTTAGAGCCAGATTCCTTTTAAATGTTAGGTAATTACTGCTTCCCAGGCCCTTCGGGCTCTATGCAGATAGTAATGGGGTATGTGAGTCACTCTTTAGTATTTGGAAGCACCACATATTTTCAGCTAATAAGGCTGCGTCTGCTGACAGCATTGCCCAGTTTCTTTGATTTTGCCTCGAATGACATCATCTCATAGTGATAAAGCAGTTACTCCATGCTGATCGAAAGGTCTCTCTGAATATTCTATCAGTCGCTGATGAATACAAATGAGCAAGTGTGCTCTTGTGACCGAAACAGTGCCGTTTTTTTGGTAGAGTCTTTTTAAACACGGGTCCGTAGGAGAAACCACGGGAGTTGTTAGTGACAAGTTGCGAACTGGTACTCGCAGACCTTAACCTCAGTCAACATTACAGGTGTTAAAATGAAAAGCTCTTTGTTTAAAACCTGTAAGGGCAATTCTCCACGTAGGCCATTCTGGCTTCTCCTGCAGGATTGTGAAGAACATTAGGGTTCTTCTGTAGAGTGACTTCTTTTTTTTTTATTTTTTTAAATTTTTTTTTTCAACGTTTATTTATTTTTGGGACAGAGAGAGACAGAGCATGAACGGGGGAGGGGCAGAGAGAGGGGGAGACACAGAATCGGAAACAGGCTCCAGGCTCTGAGCCATCAGCCCAGAGCCCGACGCGGGGCTCGAACTCACGGACCGTGAGATCGTGACCTGAGCTGAAGTCGGACGCTTAACCGACTGCGCCACCCAGGCGCCCCTAGAGTGACTTCTAAAAAACGTTCTCCCTTACTTGCTTATTTAAAATTCACATTTTCCTAAAAAAAAGATGATAGATAATAAAATTAAATGAGAAATTCCTAATTAATTAATTAATTAATTAACTAAAGCTCTACACCCAACATGGGGCTCGAACTCACAATCCCTGAGATCAAGTCGCACGCACTACCGATTGAACCCGCCAGCCGCCCCTAAAAAAAAATTTTTTTTTTGACTAGAGAGCGTATTCGTGTACCTTTAGAATCCCAACAGTGGGTAGAATGTATGGTGAAAAGGCTGCTCTCTGCCTCTGCCCTCCTAGCCACGCGCTTCTTCCCCGGGAAGACAACCTGTGTCCACAGCTTCCAGCGTCTCCTTCTAGAGGCATTTAGCGTATAGGCACGCGGATGCCTCTACGCGCTCCTTCCGCCTCCTTCGAGCGGAAGCAGCTTTAACGTAAGCGGTATCGTCCAGTACATGCTGCTGTTTTCCTTCCTGAGAAACGGTAGTGGGTATGACAGGAGCAAAATGCTTTCCTTTCTTGGCGCGCAAACGGTGCTCGCTGACGCGGGAAGGCTGATTAGACTCTGACTTTCAGCCGCCCGATGCGTCCTGGAGGGTGTCGTGGGTCCAGAAATGGGGACTGGGCCTCTGGGCTTCGCTCTGCCCCTCGCCTGCGTGCCTTGAGTAGCCGCTCTGATCTCTGGCCGCGGGGCAGTGTGGTGTGGGGGGTGATCTCTAACGCCCGAAGCGCTGTGCCTCTCCGCCAGCGTGACGTGCTGTGACGCTGGCCGTCCTCGTTTCAGCCAGGGGATACGAGTATGTGCTGGAGCCCTCGCCTGTGCCGCTGCCTCTGGACAGACCCCAGGACACGCAGGTGCTGCAGGTCTCGTGCGGCAGAGCCCATTCCCTCATCCTCACCGACCGCGAAGGAGGTGAACGGGCCTGCTCCGGGTTCCCGGGGGAGTGGGGGAGCCGCGCGGTTGCCCTTGGGTCCACAGTGGCTCGTTTGCTTGAACCGCACCTCATCAGTGAGGCTGTTGGCACTTCCCCAGCGAATCGGTAGGATGGCTCAGGGTCACCACGTTGGGCAGACTCTGCTAGCTCTTTTGTGTTCTCTCCTCTCTGCGATTCTTCGAAAACCTTAGGGATTTGGAAATGTGACCGCGCATACCGCAGCAAGGCCTCCTGCTCGCTTTGCCGTGAAGTCCCCGAGCTGGGCTGTGTGGGCGTGTGTGCGCGTGCGTGTGTGGAGACAGCTCTTTCTGTTCTACTGAAAGAAGCCCGTTTGCTAATACTTGTTTCATTTGGTGGGCTTCCGGAGTCCACATAACACTGACTTTCTCCAGAAGACCGGTGGTGTCTACGGAAAGGCCAACTGGACTAGATTTTTCCAATTTCATTTTCTGGCTAAGCATGCTTTGCGGGAAAAGGCAATGGTGGCGTTCAGGAACTCTTTCAAGAGTAGCTTTGACGTGGAGGGCAACCTAGTGACAGGTCCAGGGAGTGGGGGTGTTGGGGCCTTCCCCAGGATGGGCTGGCCTCAAAACACGGAGTTCTCGAGAGGTGGGACGAGGGCCTGGAGGGGAAGGCAGAAGGAACAGTCACGGTGGCCCAGGCTGTCGGTGCGGGGCTAGACCCCACCACGCCTGTGGGTGTGCCTGCCAGGCTGGGGTTGTCAGAGAAGGAGGTCAGGAGGCGGTGAGGATGAGCGGTTGGACTAAGACCACTTCCGAGACCGCCTTGCAGTCCTGACGTGCAGGGATCCCGTGAACCTGCAGAATGGTTTTAATCGGTGGTGGTATTCTTCAGTCTTCAGCATGGGAAACAATTCTTACGGGCAGTGTGGAAGAAACGTGGTCGAAGATGAAATTTACAGGTGAGTTCCCCAAAGGACTGCCCTTCCCCGAGTTGCGTTAAGCATTTAACGTTTCTCGTGTGGTTACTAAGTGATGGACCCATGGAGCAGGGAACTGCTGGCTTCCTGATGCCTGAGAGGGGCAGTGAGAAGTCACTGGAAAGCTGTGCCATTGTTCCGTTGTGGGTTGAGCTCCGTACATTAGCTTGGTGGAAGGGAGGGCGGACTAGCGTTGATTGTGGTGTGTAGAACTTATTTCCAGTTAGGTTTTTTTTTAAGTTTATTTGTTAAAATTTTTTTTCAATGTTTATTTTAGAGAGAGAGAGAGAGAGAGAGAGAGAGAGAGAGAGAGACAGTATGAGTGGGGGAGGGGCAGAGAGAGAGGGAGCCACAGAATCCGAAAGCAGTCTCCAGGCTCTGAGCGGTCAGCACAGAGCCCCACGCGGGGCTCACACCCACGAACCATGAGATCATGACCTGAGCTGAAGTTGGATGCTCAACCGAGCCACCCAGGCATCCCAGTTTATTTATTTATTTTGAGAGAGAGAGAGAGTGACAAGTAGGGGAGAAGGGTAGAGGGAGAGAGACAATCCCAAGCAGCGTCTACACTCCGCGCAGAGCCTGATGTGGGGCTTGAACTCACAAACCGTGAGATCATGACCTGAGCCAAAATCAAGAGCCGGATGCTCAACTGACTGAGCCTCCCAGGTGCCCCTCCAATTAGTTTTTTTTTTTTACCAAATTAATTAATTAAAATTCCTCTCTGTTCCATTATTTGTGTGTTTGTATATATATAATATATACAATATATAAAATATGTATGTAATATATAAAATATATACAATACATAATATATATAATATATATAACACATAAACTTTTTTAAATGTTGCTTATTTTTTAGAGAGCATGAGCAGAGTAGAGGCAGAGAGAGAGAGGGGAACCGAGGATTCAAAGTGGGCTCCCCGCTGACGGCAGCAAGCCCAATGTGGTCTCAGACCCACGAACTGTGAGATCATGACCTGAGCCGAAGTCAGACGCTCAACCAACTGAGCCACCCAGGAGCCCCTTGTTTGTTTTAGTCTTTAAAAGAATTCCCCTCTCCTTCCTCACATTATACTGTTGGGTCTAAATAGCAGTCTCATCTCTGACATCGTATTAAAATTGCCAAAGTGGGGACCCCTGGCTGGCTCAGTCAGTAGACTGTGTGACTCTTGATCGCAGGGTCGTGAGTTCCAGGCCCACATTGGGTGTGGAGCCTACTTAAAATCACCGAAGGGATGTTGTTTTGTTTTGTTTTACTTTCATGCTTAGGCCTACCCCTGCCTTATATTTGACCTTGAGAATTTCCCTAATAGTTACTGTGTGCCTGTGGGGGGCTGCCATCAGGGGTGACAAGAGGGGGCAGGACCACACAGTGCTTGCCGTGACCATATCTCTTGTTTCTCCCCAAATTGCTTCTGGCTGCAGCGAAAGTCACAGAGTCACTAGACTGCAGGACTTCGAAGGTCAGGTGGTTCAGGTAAGGGACACGTGCTGAGAGCCACTCAGCCAGCCCCCGGGGGTGCTTTTGCAGGGGTGAAAGCTGGGTGGGGTGACGGCAACTCGGTTAGGGCAGTTTTCTGAATTGGTGAATTATTCTAGTAAAAAGTCTTGGCTGCCTCCTGTAGGTCAGGAGAGTGTTGATTTACACTAGGTTATGGGGGTACAGAGTGTAATAAGGTTTGGGGGTAACCCTCGAGGGGGCAGAGACAAGCGAGGCTAGCTGTGTCACAGTGTCCCACAGCGCTGTGTGTGTGTCCCAGGCTGGCTGCATCTGGCCCAGCATTTTATTTCCATCCCTGGTGCAGTGCCTGGCACGTGGTAAGTACTTATGAAAAATCCTTAGATACATAAGCGTGTGCGTACACGAAGGGCTCTGAGCGCAGGAGGTCTGTTAAGTCTGCCAGGGGTGGAGTGGGAGGGAGAGCAGGTTTATCAGATAGACGGGGGCTGGGTGGTAGGAAAGGTTTCATGGCAGAAGGAGGTGCAGCCTGAGGGCTCGGAAGGGCAGATGGTGAGCTAGAGCCAAAGAGAGAGGCAGAGGAGTGGAAGGGGGAAAGAAAGGCTTATGGAGAAGGGAGAGGTTCCCCAGGGGTGTGGAGGGTCTCCTCCACACGTCCGGCACTTGGCTGTAGCAGGAGCAGTTTCGGGGAGCGGGACGCAAACACTAGGCTGAGGCGGACTGGGGATGAGTAAGGTGCGGAGGCCGAGCGGGGCAGCCTGCCGGACCCGGCCGTGTCGCTCGCTGCCGTAGGGCGCGTGGCAAGCTGTGGGTCCGTCCCCCGGGGTCCTGCGCCTCCGTGGATTTCTTCTCATCAGCCTCCTCTCTGTTTGTCTGGTAGGTCGTCTGTGGCCAGGACCATAGCCTGTTCCTAACAGATAAAGGAGAGGTGTACTCGTGTGGCTGGGGTGCCGACGGGCAAACAGGTGGGTGACCTACCCCCACCCCGGGGTGGCGCCCCGGGGGCTGTGGGCTGTAGGGCTCTCGTGGGCCAGAACCCCCCTTCCTTAGACTCTTCTGTCTCCTTCCCCTCACCCCCGGCTCCCACGGCGAACAACCCATGAAGGGTTGGGGACAGGGTTACGGCCGCTGCTCAACAAACAGCTGCACAAATGCCATCTAAAGGGAGCTCGGTTTTAACTGTTTTGAGGAGAATGTGATTAAGGGCGGGAGGTATTAACCCTGCTTATCTAATCCTTTTCTTGTTTTGGTATTTGTCTGAAGGGAGGGCCTTCACATTTAAGAGTTATTTCTTTTTTGTGTGTGCTTTGTTTTTCAAATTTAAGACTTCGGTGTTGTGTAAATCCTCCATCATCCTACCACTGCATCATATCACCTTTGTTCACTGTTTTGTGTTTTCTTCCAGTTATTGTTCACGCATGTACATCTCTTATATCATAATAATGCCATAGGTGTGATTTTATGTGCTCGTCTTATTTAAATTTTTTTTTTAATGTTTATTTATTTTTGAGAGACAGAGAGAGAGACAGAGCGTGAGCAGGGGAGGGGCAGAGAGAGAGGGAGACACAGAATTGGAAGCAGGCTCCAGGCTCCGAGCTGTCAGCACAGAGCCCAGCGCGGGGCCCAAACCCACAGACTATGAGATTATGACCCGAGCTGAAGTCAGATGCCCAACCGACTGAGCCACCCAGGTGCCCTTCTTTATTTTTATTTTTTGAGAGAGAGAGAGAGAGAGAGAGAGCGCGCGCGCGCACTTGAGCACGAGTGGGGGGAGGGGCAGAGGGAGAGAGAATCTTAAGCAGGTTCCATGCTGAGCCCCAATGTGGGACTCAATCCCATGACTCTGGGATCATGACCTGAGCCAAAATCAAGAGTCAGACCTCCCAGGCACCCTGCAGTACAGTATTATTAACTGTAGTTGTCATGCTGCACATTACATCCCCAGGACTTACTTATTTTATAACTGGAAGTTTCTACCTTTACCCACTTTGCTCACACCCCACCCCCACCTCTGGCAACCACCAGTCTGTTCTCTTGGATCTATGAGCTTGTTTGTCTGCCTTTCCTTCACCATTTCTTGCTCTTTCATTCATTCATTCCACATATATATGAGACCATACAGTATTTGTCTTTCTCTGTTTGACTTATTTCACTTAGGATAATGCTGTCAGAGTCCATCCATGTTGTTGAAAATGGCAAGATTTCATTATTTTTTCTGGCTGAGTAATACTCCATTGTACCTGTATACCGTAGTTTCTTTACGTGGTCCATTATTTTTGACAAGAATGCTACGACCATTCAGTGAGGGAAAGAAAAGTCTTTCACAAACGGTGCTGGGACAACTGGTTACATACATGCCAAAGAATGAACCTGAACCTCTGCCTTACACCATCGATAAAAATGAACTCAAAATGGGGCACCTGGGTGGCTCAGTCGGTTAAGCATCTGACTTTGGTTCAGGTCATGATCTTGTGGTTCGTGAATTCGAGCCCTGCATCGGGCTCTGTGCTGACAGTGTGGAACTTGCTTGGGGTCCTCTCTCTCCCTCTCCCTTTCTCTCCCTCTCTCTCCGCCCCTCCCCCACTCGTGTGTGCACGCATGCGTGCTCTCTCAAGATAATAAATAAATAAACTTGAACTCAAAATGGATCAAAGTCCACTTAAGAGCTAACACTGTAAAACTTTTAGAAGAAAACGTGGGTATAATCTTTGTGACCTCAGATTAGGCAGCAATTTCTTAAATATGACCCCTGAAGCATAAGCAAAAAAGGAAAAATAGGTAAATTGGGCTTACAAAAATGAAAAAGTTTTATGCATCAAAGGATGCTACCAAGAAAGTGAAAAAACAACCCACGGAATGGGAAGGAATATTCGTAAGTTGTGTATTTGATAAGGGTCTAGGACCAGAATATATAAAGAGCTCTTACAACCCAATAGCAAGATAAAACAACCTAATTCAAAAATGGCAAAAGATAGTGTACCTGGGTGGCTCAGTTGGTTAAGCGTCTGGCCCTTGATTTTGGCTCAGGTTGTGGTCTCATGGTTTGTGGGTTTGACCCCGTGTTGAGTGCAAGAGCCTGCTTGGGATTCTGTCTTCCTGTCTCTCTGCCTCCCCCCTGCTCTTTCCCAAAAATACATAAATAAAAAAAAAAGTGGCAAAAGTTTTGTGAAGGCATTTCTCCAAAGATCTACAAATGGCCAATAAACATGTGGAACAGATCCTCATTAATTAGTCATTAGGGGAATGCAAATTGGTATCACAATGAGATACCACTTCACATCTATTAGGATGGTTACTATTTAAAAAACCCAGAAAATAACAAGCGTTGGCAAGGCTTAGGAGAAATTGGCACCCTCAGACATTGTTGGGGGGATTGTCAAATGGTGCAGCTGCAGTGGAAAACAGTTTGGCTGGTGCTCAGAGAGTTGAGCATAGAATTAGCATCTGACCCAGCAGTCCCACCCCTAGCCGGGGACCCACGGGAAATGAAAACATTTGTCTACACAAAAACTTGTGCACAAATGTTCACAGCAACATTCCTTATGACAGCCAAAAAGTAGAAACAGCCCAAATGTCCATCAGCTGTTGAATGGATAAACGGCACACATTCATTTTATTTAAAGGGGGGGGGGGGGTCAAAAGATAAACAAATTAAAAAAAAAAAAAACCAACACCCCAGGGAAAAATTCCAGCAGTGGAAGAAGTAAGCACAGCCTCATTTATCTCTGTCCACGGCCCAACCCCGAATGCCTGCTCTCCTCACGTCCGTCCCATAGCAGGTGTCATTTACACAAATACCCTTGCCAGTCCTGTGCTATACAGACTGCCTAGCGCCCTGTGGAAGCACTTCCAGGGCATCGAACTCAGAGTCGCACACTCGGACTTCAGATCCCCCTAAACCCGGATTCGCACACGCCGCTCACCCGCTCAGCTGCACAGGGAATCCTGGGGACGGTGCAGGGAAGGATTGGAGACGAATTGCGTTGGGCCTTTTCCAGACCAGACCAAACCAAAGTCAAGCTAACCCAACCAAGCCCCCAAATGCAGTATATGCATACAACAGAATATCATTCAGCCCTAAAAAGGAACGAAGCCCTAATGCACGCTACAACGTGGATGAACCTTGAAAACATGCTGTTAAGTGAAGGAAGGCAGACACAGAAGCTCACATATTGTGGGATTCCATTGATATGAAGTGCCCAGAGGAGGCAAATCCATGGAGACAGAAAGTATAGTGGCTTCCAGGGCTGAGGGTGAGGTGGCAAGTGAGGAATGACTGCTTAATGGGGAGGGGATTTCTTTCTGGGTGACGAAAATGTCCTTAAATTCATTAAAGGTGACGGTGGCACAACATCGTGAATGTACTAAAAACTACTGAATTGTACACTTCAGAAGAGTGGAAGTGGTGAATTTGTGTCATGTGAACCTTATCTCAATAAAAAACAACAGGTGGGGCATCTGGCTGGCTCGGTGGAACATACGACTTCTGGCTTCAGGGTTGTGAGTTCGAGCCTCCTGTGGGGTGTAGAGATTACTTAAAAATCTTTAAAAAAAATGCAAAAAATAAAATAGCGATAGGCAACATGAATGTAAATTATAAAACGTGAGAATAAAATCAACACGTGTGAGACTACTACCCAGTTAAAGACGTAGACTTTTGAGACCTATTTCAGGGGCGCCTGGGTGGCTCAGTCGGGTAAGCGTCCGACTCTTGGTCTCAGCTCAGGTCATGCTCTCGTGGTTAATGGGTTCGAGCCCTGCATCGGGCTCTGTGCTGGCAGTATAGAGCCTGCATGGGATTCTCTCTCTCTCCCTCTCTTTCTGCCCCTCCCTGGCTCGCTCACTGTCTCTCAAAATGAATAAGCTAAACTTAAAAAAAAAAAGAATGAAAAAAAGATTTTTATTTTTAAGTAATCCCCACACCCAGCGTGGGGCTCGAGCTCACAACCCCGAGATCAAGAGTCACACGCTCCACTGACCGAGCCAGCCGCGCGCCCCAGGTGGGCACTTTTAATTTTTGTTTTGTTTGATGGAAGCTGTCCTAATGGATGTGAATTGATAACGCATGGTTCTGATCTGCATTTCCTTAGTGTTCAGTGATGTTGATCATCATTTTCTGGGCTTATCAGCCATTTCGATGTCTTCTTTGGAGAAACGTGTGTTCCAGTCCTGTTGCCCAGTTTTTAATTGGGTTGTTTGGGGTTTTGGGTTTTGTTTTCTTTGTTTGTTTGTTGGTGGTGGTGTAGAGTTTTAGGAGTTCTCTCTATGTTCTGGATATTGATCCCTTATCAGTTATATGATTTGCAAATGTTTTCTGCCATTCCATGGGTTGCCTTCTTACCCTGTTGATAGTCTGGTTTGTCTGTTTTTTGTTGCCTATCCCTTTGGGGTCATTTCCAAGAAGTCGTTGTCAAACCCAGTGTCGTTAAGCTCTCGCTCTTTGTTTTTCTGCTAAGAGCTTTATGGTTTTCACTCTTGTGTGTAGGTCTTTGATCCATTTGGAGTTAACTTTTGTACGTGGAGTTAGGTAGGCCCCCAACTTCATTCCTGTGCACGTGGATATCCGGTTTTCCTAGCACCATTTGTTGAAAAGACTACCCTTTCCCCATTGGTCTTGGGACTCTTGTCAAAAATCACATGATCATAAATGCAAAGGCTTATTCCTGGGCTATCTGTTCTATCCCGTTGGTTTATATGTCTGTCTTTTATGCCACTGCCACCCTGTTTGGACTGTTGCAGCCTTGACATCAGGAAGTGTGAGTCGTCCCAAGATCACTTGGCTATTTAGGGTCCTTTGAGATTTCGTATGAATAATAGGATAAATATTTCTGTAAAAAGCATTATTGGGATTTTGTTAGAGATTGCATTGAGTCTATAGATCACTTTGAATAGTAATGATGTCCTAACAATATTAGATCTGTTAGCCCATGAACATAAGATGTCTTTTTTTTTTTTTAACGTTTATTTATTTTTGAGACAGAGACAGAGTATGAACGGGGGAGGATCAGAGAGAGGGAGATACAGAATCTGAAACAGGCTCCAGGCTCTGAGCTGTCAGCACAGAGCCCGACGCGGGGCTCGAACTCATGGACTGCGAGATCATGACCTGAGCTGAATTTGGCCACTTAACCGACTGAGCCACCCAGGCGCCCCCATAAGATGTCTTTTCACATATTTATGCCTTCTTTAATTTCTGTCAGCGGTATTTCATAGTTTTCCTTGTACACGTCTTTGACATCGCTGGTTGAGTTAATTCCTGAGTATTTATTCTTCTGGATGCTACTGTAAATAGAATTGTCCTCTTTAATTATTTTTTCTTTTTTTAAAAAATATTTGTTTGAGAGAGAGAACGAGAATGCACATGTGTGCACGTGCACAAGTGGGAGAGGGGCAGAGAGAGGAGAGAGAGAATCCCAGGTGCTGACTTGTGTGGCTCAATCCTGTGACCCCAGGATCATGACCTGAGCCGAAATCAAGAGTCAGAGGCGTAACCAACTGACCCACCCAGGTGCCCCTTAATTTTGTTTTTTGGATTGCTCATTGTTAGTGTAGAGAAAGGCAGTTGATTTCTTTGTGTTGATTTTGTATTCTGCTTCTTTGCTGAATGCAGTCCATTTTTATAGCTGGATGACATCCTACCACAGAATATACCTCCATTTATTCAGTTTCGTGTTGATGGATGTTTGGATGGTTTACGACTTTTTGTTACATGTCAAGCAGTGCTTCCAGGCCCGTCTGTCTGTCTCCTTGGTCACGTGTTCCACAGCTCTCGTCGCTCTCGTGAAGATGCCTTGAGTGGCCGTGGGTTAGAGCTGTTTTCAAACGGTTGTTTTCCAAAATAGTTGTAATAAGTCACCCCTGGCCACAGGGTGGTGTTTCACTGCCTCGTCAGGGCTTGGTATCGTCCACTTTGAAGTTTTTCCCTGTCTTGTGGGTGTGACATAGTATTTCATTGAGGTTTCAATTTCGTTTTCCGAAAAACTGCTTGAGAGACCACCGTTTTACACGTTTATAAGCCAGTCTTACTTTCTCTTCTCTGAAATGTACATGGTGTTCTTTGCTCATTTGTTGACTTATGTGTCTTTTGCTTACTGATTTTTAGGAATTCTTTACCCTCATCTGTATGCTTTGCAGTTCTAGTGTTGTATGTGTTTTCTTCCAGATGGTGGCTTGCCTTTTTGTCCATCCGTTTGGATTTTGAATTTTAACTGTCTTTTTTTTCATTTCTTATTGCTTCCTTTTCAGATGTACCTGGCCATTTTTGATAGCCTCGTATTCCTGCTTTTATTTGCGTAAACATTGCACACAGAGTTATTTTTATTTTGTATATCATAATCCCAGGGTCTGAAACCCGGAGGCCATCAATTGGTAGTTTGTTGGTTCAGTTTACTCTCTGACTCATAGGGGCATCCTTCCTTATGTGTTTAGTAAGTTTTGACTCTGGGCTCATATTTCATTGAATTGAATTGGTGGAAATTCTCAGGGCCTTAACTGGAGATGCTTTCCTCCAGGGAGGATTCGGATTTGCTTTTACCTGTTGCTAAAGGGTGCTGCCATTCTGATGCTGCTCTGGGTCCCTTTGCGGAAGCCTGGCTTATTTTTATTTTAAAAAATGTTTATTTTTGAGAGAGAGAGGAGGGGGGGACAAGTGGGTGAAGGGCAGAGAGAGAGAGAGGGAGACACAGAATCCGAAGCAGGCTCCAGGCTCAAAGCTGTCACTGCAGAGCCCAGAGCAGGGCTGGAACCCACAAACCGTGAGATCATGACCTGAGCCGAAGTCGGACGCTCAGCGGACTGAACTACCCAGGCACCCCTGTGTTTTTGTTTTTATTTTATTTTTAAAAAATGTTTATTTATAGAAGCCTGGTTTAAAGCGGGAGTCTGTGCTGTGCATTTTGCCTTGGTCTGCCCAGGGCTTAACGCCATCACAGTGCTGGCAGTGATATGCGTCCTGATATCCTCTGGCCAGCCCTGTCTTTTCCTCTGCCATGCCAGTTTGCCAGTTTCGGTTTGCTGTTATTTTGGGGGGCGATGTTGGGGGGTTGAGGTGGGATACCCTCTCGGAGACGTCCTTTATCTTCTCACTAGTCCAGCAGTACATTAGAGATTGCTGGTTGAGTATTCTTTGTGTGTGTTGTCATAGGGTCTTCTGGTCTCACTGTAGTGGTATTCTGTCTCACAGGGGTTTCTCGCGTGAATCAGACTCCGTCTCAAGGGTTTTACGAGTAAACAATGACTGTTACGTGTTTATCCTGCACTGAGTGAGCCCGGGGAAGGAAGTTGCAGACAGTGCAGAGGCAGATTCTCATTTCCGAGCTGATGTTTGTTAAGTGTTCAAAACTGTGCTTGGCGCGCAGTAAGTCTGCGAAAGTGTCCCAAGAGTCGGTAATCAACAATAACGCTTCCCCACTGTTATTAGGTCTGGGTCACTACAATATCACCAGCGTACCCACCAAGCTGGGCGGAGACCTGGCCGGGGTGCACGTCGTCCAGCTTGCCACCTACGGTGACTGCTGCCTGGCCGTGTCTGCTGAGGGTGGCCTCTTCGGTTGGGGAAACTCCGAGTACCTGCAGCTGGCCTCTGTCACGGACTCCACGCAGGTATGCGGTCGCTTACGGCTGGGCTGGGGGATTTGGAGACGACGAAGCGTTAAGGGTGTTTATAAGAACTTCTTCAGCAAAGTGTGGCCTTCAGGCTGTGAAGGCCTGGCCACCTGTAAGACCGCCTCTTCTTGGCCATCTCGTTGGAGTCCGGAAAGAAAGCATGGGTTCAAAGCCATCGTTATCAACCCTTTGATGCAATAGTCCTGGTCTAGAGCAGGCTGATAGGTGTGGCCGTGTACCCCGTCTCACGAGGGGTACGAGGCTGTTCATGTCATTCCCGTGGGGTTGCCCTGTGCTTTTTTATTGCAGTGTAACATGTGTGCCCCAAAAGGGTGCAGATCCCGAGTGTGCACCTGGATGAGGACGCCTGTGCCCCCCGCCCCCTCGCCGCAAGCAGTGGGACACTCACAGTACTTCAGAAGCCACTGCCCGTGGCCTCTCCGGTCACCGCGCCCTCCTCCTCACTGAAGGGAGTCACCCGCAGTCCGTACAGTACGGCAGGATTTTAAACGTTAAGGGAAATTGCAAATAAAAACCAAAAGTAGAGCTCCCTGCATGATTAATCTCTATGTATCTCTCACCCGTGTTCAACGATTTCCAACTAATGGCCCATTTAAAAAGAAGAAAACAGATATAATTCACCATTTTCAAGTGTAGAATTTGGTGGGTTTTAGCGGAGTCCCAGGTTGTGCAGTGGGCTAATCCCAGAACAGTTTCATTACCTGCCGCACTCCCTCTCCCCACCCCCCACCCCCCCCCCCGCCAAAAGCCCCATGCCCTAATGGCCAGTTTTTGTTGCCATCTGCTCCTCTGCCCTGGATTATTCTGAGTAAATCCCAGGTCTGTGTATATATTTTAAGTTTACTTATTTATTTTTGAGAGCGAGTGCGGCAGAGGGAGACCGAGAATCCCAAGCAGGCTCTGCACCATCAGCCCAGAGCCCGAGGCAGGGCTCAAACTCCACAAACCATGAGATCGTGAACTGAGGCGAAACCAAGGGTTGGACGCTTAACCGACTGAGCCACCTAGGCTCAGGTCAGACACCATATTTTATCCATAAAAGTCTCCATGCATATTTCTAAAAGATAAGGACTGGGGTGCCAGAGTAGCTTAGTCCGTTAAGCGTCTGACTCTCGATTTCGGCTCAGATCATGATCTCGAGGTCGTGAGGTCGAGTGCCGCGTCGGGCTCCATGCTGGGCGTGGATCCTGCTTGGGATTCTCTCTTTCCCTCTCTGCCTGTGCCTTACTGTCTATCTCTCAAAATAAATAAGTAAACTGAAAAAAAAAAAGATAAGGACTATTTAAAAAACATACTTTATTCCTTAATATCACCAAATTGCTGACAAGGTACAGAGGGTTTTAAATGTATATTGATAAAGAGATCAGCACGGAGGGAAACTAAAAGCCAGTGAAGAAGATGAGGAGAACGTGTTCCATGGGGTCCGACACAGCGGCTAGAAGCAGTTGCAGGTTTGGTTCTGAGCTTCCTAGTAGCCAAAGCAGAGAAGAAAACGTACCCATGTAAAGGATTCTTTGTTTCTGTAAGACAAACAAATGCTGTTTTTGTGAAGAGTGTTGCACTTCCTGCTACCGGTCCTGAGAAAAATGGCTCCCGCGGCCTTCCTGGGGGGGACACGTCCGGTGTCGTGGCATTGTTATCGCTGCATATCAGCGATATGTTTAAACCCCGACTTAGGGGTTTAAAGCAACACGCATTCATTACCTCACAGTTTCTGTGGGTCAGGAATCCAGGGGTGGCTTAGCCAGGTCTTCTGGCCCTGGTCCCCCAAAGGCTGCAGGCATAGTAGGGTTCCGCGGGCGAAAGCCCCGCTTCCAGGACCACCCCGGTGCTTGTCGGCAGGATGCGGATCCTCGTGGGCTGTTGGACTGGGGCCCCAGTTGCTTGCTGGTGGCTAGCCAGCTACTGACTGTCGGCCAAGGCTCCCTTGGTCCCTGGCTTCTCCGTGTAGCAGCTCCCAACATGGCAGCTGCCTTCATCAGAGCAGGCAAAGGAGAGGGCGAGAGAGTGCCAGCGAGACAGAAGCCAGCGTTTCGTAATTTAGTCTTGGCAGTGGCCTCGCCTTGCTTTCCCCGGTACTCTGCTCATCGGAAGCCAGTCGGGGGGTCCAGCCCCACACGAGGGCAGGGTTACACTCGGGTGTGCGTGGCGGGGGCGGGGGGTGTGGGTCTTGGAAGCAGCCCACCGCGGCCCCGACTCTAACCGTGGCCCGAGCCTCGTCCTGTCGGTGACGGCAGTGGGGTGTTCCCGGAGGCCCTGTGCTGGCGTGTTCCTCGGTGTCTGCTGAGCGCGTCGTGCCAGAGCACGGGCAGGTAGAGACCCTCTGACCGCCTCACCTCGTCCAGGCAGGCGCTTTCTGGATCAGTGAGGCCGCCTGTTCCTTCTGAGTCAGCTGAGGGGCTGTCAGCCTCCAGCTGTCCGCATCTGAAAGTACCTCCGAAAAGATTCGTGGCCGCCACTGAAGCACTTCAGGTCTTTCTTTCCGGGGTTCGGCCTCGGTGGAGGCACCAACACCAAGTCCTGCTGGAGAGCTAAGTGGGCAGCACCTCATCCTCTAAACCCCCGACCCTCGTGTCGTGTCTGGCCCCCGATTAGTAGAGAAAACACGTGCTGTCAGATGGGAGTGCCCCCAGTTTCCCACGCCGAGCCCTTTACACTCCAGCCAGGCCCACCCCTTCTGTAGCAGGGGGCAGGGCTGGGGGAAGGCGCCTCCCGCCCTGGGCCCGGGGTCCTGTCTCCTCCCGCCTTCTCAGGAGCTTTGTTCCATCTACTGGGCCTTCTTCCCCATAGCTTCAACCTCCCCTTCTCCACTGGTCCCTCCCCAGCCGTCCTTACACCTGACCCCCTGTGGCCTTTGTCTGTAGAAGCCCTGTGTGGGTTTCCTGGTGTCCACCCAGTCCTTCCCCCTCCCCCATCTCCACACCCCCCCCCGCCGTCTCCCCCTCCACTCTCCCATATCTACCCACCCCTGTCCCACCCCCACCCCTCCCTCATCTCTACCCACCCTGCCCCTTCCCCCATCTTTACTCCCCCCCACCCCCCACCCCTTATCTCCACCCACCCTTGCCTCCACTTCTAGGACCAACTCTCAGAGCCACATTCACTTCTTGTCTCCCTCTCCTCACTCCTCAGTCCATTCCACTTGGCTTCCACCCTTCTCACTTGGCAGAGAGCCTCTCACTGGGCTACCAGGGCCTTCATGTTGCTCACATAATAGCCAAGACTCTGGAGAACATATCCCAGCCTTTATCCATCTTGACCTCGCAGCAGCATTTGACCCTGATCATGAGCTGTTGACTGTCTGTTAAAACACTCCTCCCTGGGCCCCTCTAATGACTCCTAAGTACCCTCCCGACTCCCTCGTCGTTTCTTCTTGGCCTCGTTTTCTGGTGCTCCTCCTGTGCCGGGCTTTACATGTTGGAGGTCCTCTCCTTGGGTCTGGTCCCTTCAGAGGTCTCACCCGCACCCGTGGCTGCAGTTACCGGCTGTGTGCCAGTGTCTCCCCAGCTCACACGTTGGGCCCACACTGTTCTTCAGGGTCACGCATCTGTGAGCGTCAGCTGCCATTTCCACTCGGCCGTCCCTGGGCGCTGTGAGTTGGGTACATCCACCAGGGAATGCAGGCACACCCCCCACATCCCGGTCCTCCACTGGCTCCCACATCCCCTGACATTGCCTCTCTACCCAGAACCCTTGCTGGCTCCCCATTGTGCTCAGGATAGAGACCAGCTCCTTACTGTGGCCTACGGGCCTGCCGATCTGGCCTCCTTCCTCGCCAGCTCATGCTCCGTACCCCCCCTCCCCCATCTGCTCAGCCACTGCGACCTTGTTCAGACTCCCCGAAGGTGTCCTGTGCACGTGCCATCTCCACTCCTTGGGATGTCCTCTCTCCCCTTGCCTGGTTAGCTCTGCTCATCCTTCAGGTCACAGGATCAAATGAAGCCTTCCTGGTCCTTCCCTGACCGCTCCTACCCCCAGACTAGATCAGGTTCCCCGACGTTCAGAGACCCTGGACTCTCCTCAGTGCAGATTAATTTCATGTTAATTTTGACCGGCTTCTGCTTTCTCCACCAGACTCCGTTCTGAGAGAGGGCCCGAGTCTCCTGTTCCCTGTCGAATTCCCAGTGCCCAGTTAGATGTTTAGTTTATCCTGGACGTTCAGGAAATATTTGTAGATTGAATGAACAAACCGGGACTTCCGTGCTTTGTCCACAAGACAGAACATTCCCGAGTTTGCCTTCCTAACAGCGTGGTTCTTGCTCTGCTTCAGGTGAACGTGCCCCGGTGCTTGCCCTTCTCAGGAGTGGGCAGGGTGAAGCAGGCCGCGTGCGGTGGCACAGGCTGTGCGGTGTTAAATGGTGAGACCCTCCTACGGCCAGTGGGTTGGGCGGGAGAAGGGTCAGTGTCCGTTGGCGTCACAGCCACAGACCTTAGCCTGAGGGAGGGAGGGAGGGCAGTGTGGCCCTGGGAAGGTCCAGCTAGACTGGGCCCAGTTACTAGAGGGAGAGCTTGACTTGTTGGCAGGAGGTAATAGTCGTGATTCAGATGTGGACAGATCGACAGCGACAGGGCACAGTCACTCTGGCCTGTTACAGCAGACCTCTGGAGGGGCCGAGCTGTCTCTCCCGCTCCCTTAGCCTCGGCCAGAGACTCAGCCCTGCCTTCCCAGCGAGGCTGTGCCAGGAGACAAAGGCAGATAGGAGAAGGGCCGTAGGGTCTGGATACCGAGGCCTGTGCCCCTGGGATTAAGTGTCTAGGGTCGCTGATGAGCATTACAAACTTCTGTGACGAAAAGAATCATTTCTAAGACTTGCAGAAATCGGGCCAGAGGTTCTTTGTGTACTTGGCTTGGTCTCCCGATCCGTTTGAAATGTAGAGTGTCAGTGTGGGGAAAACCATCCTTCTGGGCCTCCCCCGTGCTCATGGGGCTTCTGCGTGATTGATGAACTGGGCCCATCCAGGTGACCCTCAAGATGTGGGAAATTTGTATCCTGAGGTGGGCTAGCCGGCTAGACATTCGCCACAAGCAAGAATTAGAAAGAGGAGAAAAGAAACATTATTTTAAGTATCTGTCCGTATGTTCTTGCCAAGCAAGGAGGGGGAAAAAAAAATCCATGTGGACATAATGCGTCTTGGTGGTACAGTCTGAATTTCTAATGAAGGCGGGCTGCACTTGATTTGACTTACTGACCGTTGTTTTTGCTGTAATGTAGGAGAAGGACATGTTTTTGTCTGGGGCTACGGAATTCTTGGGAAAGGACCAAACCTCGTGGAAACTGCACTTCCAGAAATGATTCCACCCACCCTCTTTGGCCTGACAGAGTTCAACCCAGAAGTCCAAGTCTCCCTCATCCGATGCGGCCTCAGCCACTTTGCCGCCCTTACCAGTAAGTGACCGGGCCCGTGTGGCCCCAAAGACGGGCAGAGCTTAGCTGTCTCCCCAGGCAGTGGGGTGATGTTTCCTCGTGGATAATTAAAGAGAGCGGCTAATCCAGAGTTGCTTGGCTTGGGGACATATGATGTGTACCTTCTCTTCATCCCAAAGTTGTGTTTTTGGTTCATTTGGTTTGTGGTCAGGTTAACGTTAAAGTGAGTTTTCTCAAGAGGATCCCAGGCGGTGGTGGGAGAGGGACCGTCGAGCGTGTTGGGGATGCCGGCGGAAACTGGCGGAGGTTTGGCGAGTCCACGGCGGGTAATTAGGAACCGGTCGTGTGGGGTGGCAAGAGGCAGATCTGTCGGCCCTCCTGTGGTTTTGTGGAGGTGAGTCTGCCCGAGTGCCCCAGAGGGCTGGCAGGAGCGTGACCGAGGGGAGGCGAGACGGGGTTTGCGCACAGGTTTGCCAGACTACGAGGCCGTGAAGCATCCGGTTCCTCTGTGGCCCTCTAGCTTGCGTGCTTCTCTTGAACCACAGCGACTGCTGGTTCAGTTTGCCCACGTTAGTCAAATAGGAAGACTGAACTGAGTTTCGTGTTGTGATTCTCAAGCAGACTCGCGGTTTCTTTGCAATTAGAAGCCCTTTTACTCGTTTCGTGGTTAGGAATTGGCTGGTTTGTGTTCTTGTTTTCTTTAAGCATCTGGGCTGGGACGGTGAGTTTGGGTCGTCTTGAGTCACGTGAGTTTTTTGAAGCTCATTTTGCTTTTAGCAAGTAAGCATCGGTGTGGACGGATTTTGGAGGCAGTGCAGATGTGTCTCACAGGATGTTTTCAGGCCTCTGCGTCTGTGTGCAGAGTCGCCTGCCCGGAAATCCATACGGAGTGTGAGCCTGGGGGCGACTGTTTTCTGTTTGTGGTCGTGCCGTGTGGCCATTGTGGGTCACCTTGAAGTGAATTCCCCGTCTAGATTTCTCCCAAGACCTGGCCACTCTCCACATGGGGGTCACCGTCCCTAGCGGGGGGGGGGCGGCGCCCATTGGAGTTTGGGTTTTTGCCCTGCCCCCGGGCCCAGCTGGGAGTCGGCGTTGGGTTTACCCTGAGGTCTGCTAACATTTTGGGGGCCCAGACTGACTGGGTCTGTTGAACACATCGCATCTGAGGGCAGAGGACCAAGGAGGATGGTTGGATCAGGGGGATCTGCCAGCTCGGAACAAAAGGATTCTTTATTTAATCAGACCAGATTATTGTCGTCCCGGCTTCTCTGCGGCCTTTCTTCTAGTCCCCGTGACCAAAGCCTTTTCTCTGTGTCACAGAGCACCCCAAACTGGTGTGTACGGAAGTCTAAAGCGAGCGCTGGGCTCTGGGCAGTGCCCAGAGCTCCGTCAGGCAGGTTGGCATTCCCAGAGCTCCCGTCTGGGTTCTGTCTCCCGGCCGTCCTCCACGGCACCCTGTCTGTCCTCCTTCACGGCATGTTTTACAGTTTGTAAACCTGCATTTTTACAGTGAGTTCTGCTCATTTGTTTGTGTCTAGCTCCAGCCCCATGAGGACAGGGACTGTGTGTGTGTTTGGTCACTGCTGTGTCCCAGCTCCCAGCACACAGACGAAGACCTGGCCCAGAGAGGCTCTGGTCACTTTGTAGCTCTCAACCAGATGCTCCTGAGAGAGAGAGAAACCCAGGCAAGGAATACATCGCCCTACTCCTCACTCCGCCAGGGCATGACCGGGGATTGAGGGTGCTCAGCTTTCGAGATTTGAGGCGGGGTGTGTGTAAGAGCGGGCTTGTGGCCAGAGCCCCACGCGTGTGCCAGCGTCCCACGTGACGAACACAGCGCGGGTCTGGGCTTGGCCGTGTTCTGGTGGCGGTAAACTGTTCCCTTCAGAGGAGAGCGTGAACGCCTGGGAGAAATTGAGATTTCACGTCGGGCCCTGTGGGTGCCTAGAAAGCCTGTTCTCATGACCCTTCCCCCTGTTGGAGACTTGCCCTTGGCCTGGCCCCAACCGAGCTACCTTTTTCCTTTCTTTGCAGACAGAGGAGAGCTGTTTGTGTGGGGCAAGAACATCCGAGGGTGCCTGGGCATCGGTCGCCTGGAAGACCAGTATTTCCCGTGGAGGGTAAGGCTGCATGGGTGGGCTCAGGCCACACCCACAGGGAGGCCCCCCCCCCCCCCCCGGGTGGTGGTGCGGGGACCCGCTCCCCACCGCGCCGTGGCTTCAGGGGAGGCCGCGCCGTGGTGAGGAGCCCGAGCCGGCGCCCGGCTCCAGCTTCTCGCTGCCCTCGGCTCCGTCCTGAGGCCTGTCGAGTGAGCGGCCCGCCCGGCCGAGGCTTCCAGCCCCGCGGTGCCCTGGGAGAAGCCTCGTGGGAGGCTGGCCGTGGGCACGCGGAGCGGGGAGACGACGCGCCAGTGCCTGGGAGAGAAGTAGGTGCAGGCCGGGTCCCCCCCCCCCCCCCCCCGCGAGGGGGAGATTCGAGACGAAGAAGGTGCTGTGCCAGGGGCCGTCCCCAGAGGCCTGTGCAGAGGAAAGTTTGACAGCGAATTCGGAGGAAAGCGGGCTGTTTCATAGAGTGCCTTAACCACAGCCGGCAGAGTGAAAAAAAAAGTTTTTCTTAGGGGGAGGATGCAATTACACAACAAAGGCTCGTTTCAAAATTAAAGGGGAGAAAGGTTCTCTCTTAAATTGTAGTTTATCTCAGTGTTGTTTGCTAAGTTCTCCTGAAAACCGAAAAAGCTGTTGGTATTTTTGAGAACAGCACAAGAGGTATTATAAATATGAGACACCCCCCCCCCCCCCCGGCGCGGATCGCGGGGGCAGCCGGGGGCACTGGTTTCTTATGTTCCCTTCCGGAAACAGTCAGCAGGCTCTGCATAGAAAGTGTGTGTGTATGCACGTGTGTGTGTGTGTGTGTGTGCGCGTGCTCGGCTTAAAGTATTTTCTGTGAACGTTGGATTTTAATCATGTGTTGTGAGGGGCGCCCGGGTGGCTCAGTCAGCTGAGAGTCCGACTCTTGATTTCAGCTCAAGTCATGATCCCAGGGTCATGGGATCGAGCCCCATGTCGGGCTCCACAGTGGGTGTGGAACCTGCTTAAGATTCTCTCTCTCTGCCCCTCTTCTGCTCATGCTTTCTCTCTCTCAAAAATAAGCATTTTTTAAAAATTAAAAAAAAATACATTTTGAAATTGTGTAAAGCATTTTTTGAAACGACATGTAAAAATGCAAAAGGAATTTCTAACTTAGGTCAAATAACGAGGATTTGCCCATCCAAACCCCCCTGCAAAACGTTTGGAGGCACTTGAGCATTTTAGGGGCTCTTTCCCTTGGCTGCCCGCTGTCCTGGCCCCCTGTGACCTCGGCAGGCCCTGACCCCTTTATAAAAACCATGTATGCAGTCTCTAAGAACACAGGGCAGGATTGAGGCTTGATGTTGGCTGGGAACAAATGGTTGTGCACCAGAGCTGTCTGCAGGCTGCCCACTGCTCACGCGCCCGTTCGCCTGAGCCTGGGATTCCCGTGATGTGGGAGGAGTGGACAGCCGGTTGTGGCCAGCGGGTGGCAGGCCAGGTGATGCGAGCATCGGTAAGGTAGAGGCCCCGCTTGCCTTCACTCTGAGGGGATGCTGGGGACGCGGTAGAGCAGCTGGGTGTTGGATGACTGACCGGCGTGACTCCCCACCTGCCCTCCTGTCCTCCGCATCGGAGTGACGGTCAGCCACGAGATAAGACTGCAAATCTGATCACTGTGCCAGCGAAAAATGGCTGGGCTCTGGCATCCGTTGGGGAGCTGGAATCGGCAGGCTTCCGGGGCCTGGGGCCACCTGCTGTTCAGACCGGAGCCGCCTCCGCAGACTCCCTACTCAGCAAGCGGGGCACCCGTGTGGTTGGGGAGGGGACGCCCCGGGCTGTCCCCCTGATGGCTGCCAGACTGTCGTCCTCCCCTGGCACGTGTCCCGAGCCCTGCGTGCTTGCAGGTTCGGGGGGGGGGGGGGCCGGCGAAGGAGAGCACTGTGGAGGGTGGTGCTGGGGGCCTGGCCCCTCCCGTGCTCTGTGTCGGGCTGGGCTCTGGGGAGGGCCGTGGCAGGAACCAGGTTTGGGGTCAGCGGGGCTGGATTCCTTCAAGATCAGATCAGCCTCTTATTGGCAGCTGGACCTCACTCTAGTCTGTTCAGTTGCACTCTTTTTTTTTTTTTTTTAATGTTTATTTATTTTTGAGAGAGAGTGTGTGTGTGTGTGAGGAAAGGGCAGAGAGGAGAGACAGAGAATCCCAAGCAGGCTCTGTACAGTCAGCCAGGCACCCCAGCATTCACTGTCTTTTAAATTACAGGCGACTTTTATTTTTAAAAACTGTGTTTTCTTACTAATCTTCGGGGGTGGGGGGGGGACTGTTCTATCATTTTAAAAGTATTCCAAGAAGGTGGGGGCGTCTGGGTGGCTCCGTCGGTTCAGCGTCCGACTCTTGATTTCAGCTCAGGTCATGATCTCATGGTTCGTGAGATCGAGCCCTGCATCGGGCTCTGTGTCGACAGCACGGAGCCTGCTTGGGATTCTCTGTCTCCCTCTCTCTCTGCCCCTCCCCTGCTCGTGCTCTCTCTTTCAAAATAAATAAACATCTTAAAAAAATAAAAGCATTCCAAGAAGGGAGGAAAACCAGTAAAGCCTTATTTGTAGCTCCTACAATGGCACTGAGTCTGTTGCTGTTAGGCTCCCAGAGCCTGGCCTCCGACAGTGCGAAGGCCCAGGGAGTGACTGCAGAGCCACCCGATTCAAAACCCTCTCCTTCCGGAAGCTTTCCAGGAGGTTTTCCTGCTGCCCACTGACACTCAGAGCTCAGGGAGGGTCGGTGACGTCTTCAGGGCCGCTCATCCAGGAAGCAGCAGGGCCCGGATTCAGACTCCGATGTGTCTGACTTGGAGACGGTGGTCTCTTCTCCGTGCCGCCCTCTGGGAGGGCCCGGGGCTGGAGCTGGAGGTCCCCGGCGGTGGGGAGAGGCGGGGACTCACCGTCCAGGTCTTTACGGGACCCTCCGACCTGTATGGCGGCACCGTGGGCGTGGGAACAGGCCACTGGGGCACACGCCCCACCCACCCGGCAGTGTGGCCTTCCGGGCCAGCGTCGCTGCCTGCCTGAGGGGACAGCTCTCCGGCGTGCTGGGCACCTTGCTGTTCTCCCTCGGCCTCAGGACCCCCTGAAGCCCCCCCACCCCCCACCAGCCTGCAGCCGGGCTCACTGACTTCAGGGGTCAAGGGGGCTGCCCCGTCTCATGGCCACTCAGAAGCAGGGGCTGCGACCCGAACTTGGGGCTCTGTGTGCAGGCAGTGCCGCCCTTGCCCTGTGCCCCTCGGGTCAGGACCAGGTTGGGTTGGGGCGCACAGGCTGGCAGATGGGCCCTGGGCCCCAGGACGGTGTCTGGGGGAGCTGACCTCTTGGTGCCACAAACGACCTGGCAGACGCAGCCAAGTCGGGGAGCAGCCGGGAGCCCAGCTCCGTGTTCCCTCTGAGTCCCCTGCCTTTGTCCCGTGGATGTTTGTCTTACCACCTTGTCGTGAAGAGGAATGTTCCTGAAGGATTCTGCTCAAACCTTTAAGAGTCCTTCAGGTCAGATGTAGGTTCAGTTTTTGGAACTGTTTCCCTTTGCAGTAATTCTGTCGTGAGCATAAAGTGATTTAGACTAGGAACTTCAACCTCGTTGAAGACACAGAACACACGGCCGGGGGCAATCTCCTCTCGGACGCTGTTCAGAGACCGTGAGAGACTGAGCCCCCACGTGCCAGGGGGAGCGGGAACCACAGGAACCCCGCTGCTCCCCAGAAGGGGCTCAGAGGCCAGCCCTAGCCCCAACCAGCCTCTGAGCCGGTAGACCAGGGCCAGGTGGTTTACTCTGCTCGGGGGCCCTAATGGCCAGAGCGCTTGGGGAGCAAGAACACAGGTGCTTGCGTGCCGCAGCCTGGGGACACATTAGTGCCGAGGGCGGCAGCCTCCCCGGGAAAGGTCAACAAAATGCGCTCTAATGGCCCAGGAAGGTTGCTAGGAGTTCGTCTGGGCCCAGTCACCCCAGAGGCAACCTGTTTTCTTCTGCCTCTGTGGCCAGCCTGGCCCACTCTCTGCACCCCTGTGCCTTTGCGATGAGCCGGGGGTGCTGCTCGGTGTGCTCAGTGATTTCTGTGATGGGTGTCGCCGAAGACGTTTGTTTGGGGAGAGAGGGGCAGGTAGCAGGACTCAGTCACTCGCATCCATTTGCCTGCCGGCCAGGAGCCCCTAATGGACTTGCCACCCCACACGGAAGGCAGCAGGCTCCACTGCCTCTGGGCTTTTAGGCCAGGCCATCTGGGGGAGCCCTTTCCCCCCCTTATGCTCAGTAAACTCCACAGGCTGCTACGGACCCCCTTTATAGCTGTCACGCTGCCTGGCGGAGCGCTTGCCACCAGGGGAGGGTGGCAGCATTTGGATCGGGTCGGAGGCAGCAGCATCCTGTCTGGAAGGCCATGGAATCAGTTAAAAATCCAGTTCCAAGGGAAGGTGGGAATAAAGGGGCAGATGCTGACAGGGTGGGACTGAGACATATTTAGGGGGCGCCTGGGGGGCTCAGTCGGTGAAGCATCCGACTCTTGATTTTGGCTCAGGTTGTGATCTCGCGGTTTGTGAGTTCGAGTCCCGCATCAGGCTCTTTGCTGACAGTATGGAGCCTGCTTGGGATCCTCTCTCTCCCTCTCTCTCTGCCCCTCCCCCACGTGCACATGCTCTCTCTCTCTCTCTCTCTCTCTCTCTCTCTCTCCCTCTCAAAATAAATGAACATTTGATAAACTTCCGAAAGGTATTTAATACCAGGGTGCCTGGCTGGCTCAGTAGGAAGAGCGTGCGACTCTTGAGTTTAGGGTTGTGAGTGAAACCCCCACACTGGGCGTAGCGATTACTTAAAAACAAAATCGGGGGAAAAAAAGGTATCTAATGCCTTTTCGTTCTTTTTCACTGAATGTCATTCTATGGGGGAGCCATGAGAGTGGCCCGCCTCTTGAAAATAATGATAATAATATTGTCATAGGAGGAAGAAAAGCGCCCCTCCTCTGGAGAACGGGCTTGGCTATGGGGACGTGCCAATCCTTGAGTTGTGGGCCCACCCGGAGCTGGTTGGGGTGGTCACTTCCAAGGCCTGTAGAACAATGAGAGTCATTTTATTTTATTTTTAAAATTCTAAGTTTATTTATCCTGAGAGAGACCAACACAGTACAAGCACGGGAGGGGCAGAGAGAGAGAGAGAGAGAGAGAGAGAGGATCCCAAGCAGGCTCCACGCTGTCAGCACAGAGCCCGACGCGGGGCTCGAGCTCACGAACCGCGAGATCATGACCTGAGCCGAAATCCTGAGTCGGGCACTTACCCGACTGAGCTGCCCAGGTGCCCCCAGTGAGAGGTCTTTTGAAGGCGAGCAGGCCAGAGCCTCCACAGCAGCCTGATGTCACCTCGCCGGTTGGACTGCGTGCGGTGAAATGTCAGCGCAGGTGGGCAGTGCCGATAGGACTGCCGGCGAGGCTTCTGGCACCGTCTGAGACACGGGGGACGCCCCTTGAGGGTGCCTGTCATCTGGGAAACAGCCGACCTGGGACTGAGGCTGGCGGCTAACTCGGGTAAAGACGCCGGCCCGGGAGCCTCCTTCCCAAAGCGGACCCCGGCTGCAGGAGAAGGGGTTTCTTGAGCTGCCCCAGTGACCCGTGGTGACCCCTAGGGATGGCCAGTAAGCACCTGGCGTGAGAGCAGGTGTTGACCTCTGGCAGGGTCATACTTGGGGGAGTAGGCATGTTCTAGCAGCCTCTCCGACGGGTGGGCATGAAGAGTCACGTCTGCCATCGGCCGGGTGGGACGTCGGGATGGTTCTTTCCACGGTGATTGCGTTTGTCTTAACACGCCTGCCGGCTAGGTAGAAGCACCCCCATTTGCAGGGTGGGGAGCTAACGCTCCGGGAGGGTAAGTCACCTACCAAGAGGCAGAGCCAGGGGTCAGGCCCAGGTTGGGCCTCCTCCAAGCCCGTCTGCCTCCCAGCCAGCCTCGTCCCCTCACGGTGTGCTGGGTCCTGTTTTGCAGGTGACGATGCCCGGGGAGCCCGTGGATGTGGCGTGTGGTGTGGATCACATGGTGACTCTGGCCAAGTCGTTCATCTGATGCTGCTTCTTGACCGGCTCGAGCCCAGACCCGGCCTCAGAGCCACTTGGACTGCTCAGCGGGGGGTCAGAGGGGATCGGGGCCCTTCGTGAAGGGTGACACGCTCTCCCGGTGCCCTTAGCAGGAACGTACTGGAAGAAGTCCCACGATTCAGTCCCTCTGGCTGCGGGTGAGACCTGCCACGTTCACCAGGCCGAGCTCCAGTGAGACGAGTCCCAGGCCACGTGGCCCTGGCAGGGCGAGGGTAATCTACACGTCTCCGCTCTTTCTGGGGAACACACGACGGCTCCCGGGGTCATCTCTGGCTGGAGAGGCGGGTCCAAGGAAAGCTTAGCTCCACGGCATGTTTGATCGTAAAGGGGATCTGGGCCCCGGGAGGGCTTCTCTGACCCTCTGACCACGGCCGAGCTCACGGTTGGCGCGTGGACCCCAGCGCGAGCCCCGTCCTGACCGAGGGAGTCGGGCTGTGGCTTCGGCCAGTCACCCGACTCTGCTGCCCCGCGGCCGGCTCGCGCTGGGACACGAGCTGCAGTCCCTTGAGAGTACCGGTGGGCCCCGGGCGGCACGCACGGCCCACGGCCGTCAGGAGCCTCCTAACCATTCTCCCCGCCTGGCTGGGGAAAGCCGAGGAGCCCCCGCAGGAGGAAGAGCGAGGCCCGATTCTTGGGGCACTGAACACGCCCCGCGGAAGCCTGGCTGGAGGGCCGGCCCCGGGGAAGAGGCTCAGAAAGTGTGGAAAACATTTGAGGAGTAACATAACCTGTCCTCTTGCTTAAAACTTCTTTCAGAACTCTCTTTTGCAATAAAGCCTATTTTCTGCCTTTTTATTTTTGAGCACTGAAGAAGTCTTTTATTTTTACTTTACCTGATCAGTTAGAGATTAGCTTTCAAAAGCCGGACTTTGGACAAAGAGACAGCTAGAAGCCAGTGACAAATAACTTTAGGGGACAGTCTTGCCTGAAGGCAATTTTTCTGAACAGGGTGTCCTCCCACAGTTCAGTTGGGAGAAAATGACGAAATCTGAAACAATTGATAATTGTGCCACAGCCCGGGGAGCTCAGTGGCTGCACCCCCTTCCTTTTGTCCAGTCACTCAACAAATACTTCCCGTCAGCCCCTGTATGCCAGGCTCGTGTAGCACACTGGGTCACTTGGGGCCAAGAGCCCTGCGAGCAGGTGTCATGAAGCTGACTTCTAGGAGGTGGAACACCGTAAACAGGCAAAATGGAAAATACGGTAAGACGGTTATGCGGGCTGTGGAGAAAAAGCAGGGGAAGGGGGCTGGTGATGTGGGGCGCTTTGCGGTCTAAAGTGGAATGCTTGGGGTGCCTGGCTGGTTCGGAGCGGGAGATTTTCGATCTTTGGGTTGTAGGTTCTAGCTCCACATTGGGTATAGAGATTACTTAAAAGTAAAATCTTTATGGGGGCGCCTGGGTGGCTCCGTCGGTTAAGCGTCCAGCTTCGGCTCAGGTCATGATCTTGTGGTTTGTGAGTTCGAGACCCACATCAGGCTCTGTGCTGACAGCTCAGAGCCTGGAACCTGCTTCGGATTCTCTGTCTCCCTCTCTCTCTGCCCCTCCGCCACTCACGCTCTGTCTCTGTCTCTGTCTCTCAAAAATAAACGTTTAAAAAAAAAATTTTTTTTTTTTTATTTTGGAAAGAGAGTGGGGGAGAGGGGCAGAGGGAGACAGAATCCCAAGCAGGCTCCAAGCCCAGCATGGAGCCCGACCCTGGGATCCTGACCTAAGCCAAGATCAAGAGTTGGACGCTCAGCTGACCCAGGCGCTGCAAAAATAGTCTTAAAAAAAAAAAAAACGTGGAATGGTCACTTCTTTAAGCAGGAGTCCTTGCTGTGTGTGGCCAGAGGCTGCAGGAACCAGCCAGGTTGCATCTGGGGGAGCGGCCCCGGGACCCCTGTCGGGCTCATGCTTACCTCCTCTTCTCTGTGGAGAACCAGTTCTTAAGCTTTACAGCAAAGGTTTCCCATAAACTTGAGAGACAAATTGAAAATGCTTTGTCACCTTCCTTCCCCAAACTCATGGTGGGGCCGCGTACCGTGTCGCTCCAGTGGTGAAGGACAGAAATCTGTCCTCCCTGAACTACCGATCTTAAAGCACCCGCCAGTTTACAGAGGGGGAGTGTCCAGAAGGCCACGGTCATGCCGGGGGTCCCCCTGGTGGTGGTCAGGGGCAGGAAGTGATGGTGCTGGGCAGGGTCCGTCGAGTGGTTTGGAGCCTCCCACCCCAGATTCGGATCCGGTGACTACCTCCATGGTGGACACCGTGACCGCGGCACTTGTAAGGGACGCCCTCGGTCGGGCTTGGTCTGCCTGGCTGGTCAGATGGCGTCAGCCACACGCCAGGCCCTCTCCACGGTCGTCTTCTGTGCCAGGCTCTCCGCTTCCGTCCCCTCGTTCCTGACCCTCCCAGCACTGGGCAGTTGGGTCCCCGTGGATGTCCTGGCTCTGATGCGTCATCTGAAGGCCTGAGAGGGCGCTCAGCCTGCAGACCCCAGAGGGAAAAGCCTTCAGGGCAGCAGAACTTTCTGGAGCTCAGGGTGGTAAGAGTGCTCCAGCCCCCCTGCGCCAAGCCCTTCCATCTCCAGGGGCAGGGGTGAGGTGGGGTGGGCGTGGGCATCGGTGGTTGGGGCCAAGCGCAGACCTAGGCTTTCAGCCCCGCCCTGCTCACACCTGCCTTCCACGGAAAATGCCAGAGAGAGATTCCAGGATCTCTTCTGTGCCCAGGCAGCCCCGATGCCCACCTACCAAGGCAGCAAGGAGCCAGACACCTGAGGCTCATGGGAGGGGCGCTGGGCAGGTGCCCTCCCTCTTGCCTCCAGGGTATCTTGTGCAAGCAACCCTTCCCGGGGGTGTGACGTCCACAGCAGGGCTCCAGGCTTGGGGAAGAAGCCCTGTCCTCCATGACCCCCCCCCCCCCGCCCCCCGGCCCCACCTCTGCCAGAGGTCTGGGAAGGAATGGTGGATGTAGTGGCCAGTCTCCAGGATGGCCCCCGAGCCCCCGATCTGCTGGCTCTCACACCCCTGAGCGGCCTCGGCCTGTGTCCAGTCCGAGCTGGGCTGTATGATGATGGCATGGCGCTCAGCGGTGGTGTGTGAATTCTGAGGCCTGGGAAGAAAAAAACCATTGTGGCTTCTCCCTTGGCCCTCGAATCCCTTGCTCTGGGCGAGACCAGGCACCCTACCGCGAGGAGACTCGAGCAACCCCGCGCGGGGGGGCCCACGCGGAGAGGAAGAGGCTTCCTGCCAGCAGCCGGGCCCAACCTGCCGGCTGTGTGAACAAACCGCCTTGGAAGCAGATCCTCGGGTCCCTCGGCCAAGACTTCAGACGACTGCAGCCTCGCGAGGGGCTCTGGGCCAGAACTGCTCAGACTGCTCCCGGATTCCTAACCCACAGAAACCGCCAGGCGCAAATAGTCATTTTCCAAGCTGCTAAGTTTGGGGGCCACTCGTTACGCAGCACCAGGCAACTAATTCGGCGCCTCTCGCTCTGGGGCACGTTTCCTCTCTCAGACTCTGGGTGTTGGGCTGGAAGCCTTGTTCTCCCTCCTCCCAGCACCCCTGGCCTGTCCTCCACCCACCCCCGCTCCCGACCGTGGCAGAGAAGGGAAAGATAGACGTGGTCCCGGGTCAGCCCCAAATCACACAGCCGTCAGCCACCACCCGTTTTTTTGTCCATTTTAATTAACACTTTACAAAGTACAAAATATACTGTCTTTTTTGGGGGGGAACATTAGGTACTTTTTTTCTCTCCGTCATACAGTACATGAATCTCGAGGGTTTTGTGTTTCTTCAAGAAAAAAGAGTAAGCGTGAGGGCCCCTGGGGCATAGGGTCACCCGGTGCTCCCCCCTCGCCCAGGCCCCGGGACAGATCTAAGTGCCACTGCTGCTGCTGGTGACCCGGGGCATTGCCAGGTGAGGGCCGGACCCCCCGAGGCGAGGCCCTGGGCAGGGCAGAGGCCCCTCGGAGCCCCATCATGCACCCAACATCCACTCACCCCCATCTCAGGATAACGGAAATAATTTTGGCATAGAGCAAGAGAAGGACTTGGGATTTTGTTTGTTGTCAGCCCCCTGCCCTCTCCCCGCCTCCACCCCGCCCAGTTTTGGAGCCAACCCTGCTCATTCTCCCTGGACCATTTTCTGAATAGGTAAACTGAGGCAGAGGACGGGAAAACGCACTGGGCTTGACCTCGGTCTTGGGACATGAATTTGGCCCGTTTTTCATCCACCACCAACCGCACTCCCCACCCTGGTCCCCGACTTCACTGGACGCTCTTTGCAGACGAGCCCCCGGTAGGCAAGGGGCACCGGCACCCTACCCGTCTCCCCGTGAATACTGTCTTCAGGGCTGGGCGCTCCTGAAGAGCTGGCCCGGCAGGTCTAGCCCCTTGGGGCTGGCCTCATGGGCTGCGTGGGCCGCCAGGCGTCTGTGGGGCACAGCAGAGCCCCTGCTGGGGACATCCCTGTCCCCCACACCCTATCAACTCTACAGGCAGCCCCCGGGTAAGACTGCCCTTGAGGCCTCAAAATACTGAACGAGCCAGGCCCTTGGCTCGGATGTGGGCTTTGCACACACGCTGATGTGTAGGACACGTGCACACTCCCACGTCTATGTACACACACACGCGGCCGAACTCACGACACTGTCCCGACTCCCAGCCGTTCCCCACCTTGTTCCGAGAGCCTCAAACGCCCTCCCCACCACGGATGCCGCGGTCTAGGCCACAGGCTTCTGTCTCCCTCTGACCCGGGCCACTCCTGGCACCATCGGCCCCAAGGATGGCAGGCTGCCTCAGCCAACAGCTCCCGCCTTGCCTTCGCCTTCTCAAGAGAGCAGGCTTCACAGGAGGTCGTGGATGTCAACGCTGAAGGCCACGGCCCACCCTGTGGCTTTCTCCCCAGGGTCCAAGGAGTAAGAGACAGTTAAGCTTGCCTTTCTGTTACCTCTACTTTGAAAATGAAAAAGAGCCGGGATGGGCTCTGAGATACAGGAAAAGGGACTAGCTAGCGCAGGAGTCAACTGCCCTCAACCCGGGCCTCTCTCCCCAAGCCCGCCCTCTGCTGGGTTGACCACCAAGCGGCCATCTTGGTTGGCTCCCCTCTGGCGGCCTCTTTGTAGGGAGGGCTACCACCCCCTCCAGGCCCAGCACCTCCCTCAGCACAGCGTCTGGGAAACCTGAGAAGCCAAAGCTCTGGTCTTTGGGGTTGAGGGGGGAGGCTCCGCTATCCTTGCCCCTCAAGCTCTGCTCACCAAGCCAGCCACACAACAGGTCCATTTCCCAGCGTCTGTGACAGCCGTGACGGGCTGCTCCTGGCTCACAGGGGGGCATGGACATATTGGGGGGTTTCTTCCTACCCCCTACTCAGTGTTCACTCAGGAAGTGGTACCAAACATTTCTAGGTCACAGAGCACAGGAGTGCTTGGCTACCATTTGAGAGGTCCTCAAGGTCCCTCTTAACCCTGGCTGGGAACCCAAGTTGTCCCCAAGTCCAGTCCAGAGGCCCAGAAAGGCAGCCTAGGGTGGCCACAAGACTCCTCTAACAGCCTCATCTTTGACTATCAGGCAAATGGTGCCCTTGGCTTGGGATAGGGGCCTCACCCTACCCATCACCCCAGAACCACCTCTGCCGTCCTCTGTCACCTCACAGGGGACAAGCTTCGCCAGACCACGCATCTTCTTCTGGACACCACGCTGGTCACCAGGGCCACGCTGTCTGATGGGGGAGGCCATGGCGGGCAGCTCTGGGTCACCTGGCTCCTTTCTTGCCCACCAGGGGCCTGTGGCCTGGGGTGGGTGGCAGGGGGAGGATGCTGGTGCTCGGGACGCTCTGGATCCCCCAAATCCTGGGGAGGGGAAGTCTGCACACCTCTCCAGCTTGGATGTGTGCCCTGGGCTCTGGAGCCCGCCACGGAGGAAGGGGTGCAGAGGGAGGAAGGCGTTTCTTGGAAACCAGAGGAGCCCATGCTGAGGGTTGAGCCACAGAGACTTTTGTAAGCGGGAGTGAGGGAGAAGGGGGTGGTCGTGCCTTCCTGTCTCCCCGCCTCCTCTCTTTAGTGTGCAGGGATGAGGCAGGTGAGGGGTGAGGGTAGCCTTAAGCTGGTGCAAGCTTTTCTTACCACGGAGTGGCAAAGAGGCAAAGACATACACACCCGGAGCCCAGGAGGCAGGTTGGGGCCACCACTCACCCCTACCTTTCGGCAGCCTCACTCAGGAGCCCCGTTTTCCTGCCCCTGCCATGTGACCCACCGGCCAGAGCCAAGATACCCTCCGCCCCGACGGCACATCCCTCAGGCCACTCTGGTGGGTCTGGAGAGCCCCCCCGCACCCAGCAAACGTGGGGTACTCTTCCCTCCCAAACTGCCATGGAGACCAAATCCCTGACTATGCTCGTCACGGGCACAGCAAGAGGGGAGCCCAGGGAACGGGAAGATCCAGACGGCAGCTCGGGGCCCAGGCCCAGACGGCCGCCCACACACCCAAGCGGCTGGAGAGCCCAGCCCTCACCCCAGCCCCCCCTGGACACAAGGTCAAGGGCCTCGGTCCTTTTGTTGACTAGACGGGGCCAGTGTCCAGGAAGAGGCCTGAGAAAAGAAGCCGAAGTTTCTCAGCTTGCCAGTGAAGAGGACCAGGTAAACAGTCAGCCAGGGGGGAGGGGAGGGGGGGGGGGGGGGGGGGGGGGGGGCCCAGGCTGGAAAGCAGGGCGGGACCACCTACCTGCCCAGGTCTTTGGGCAAAGAGCAACGGTCACAGGGCCTTTCTGCTCAAGAGCAAGAAATTCCAACACTCCTCCCTCCATACCACCGTCCCCCAGATAAAACAAGGGTGCCCGGGGGGCCTTGACCATGGAAACGGGGGTGCAGGCAGGGGCTGAATCCAGCTTCCAAGGGAGACTGGGGGAGGGAGTCTTGGGACTCCGCTCCTGGGCTGCTGGTTTTTTTTTCCCTCTCAAGTCAGGGCTTCTCGAATAATGTATTGCCTATATACTTGAATTAAAAATATATGGTGGCTCAAAACGTGCCCGCGTGCACGGCAGACGCGGCGGCAGGAGGCCCCCACGCCCACACACGTGCACACACAGCGGGGTCTGTGATCCACGTACTGTGCACACACGCGTGTGTGCTCACACAGTATATATTAACATATATATTGCTCAAGTATATATGCTATTTACAGTATATATCTATATCAACATAAAACACAGGTATTTATAAGTGTGTACAATAGATACGTTCTGGGGGGGGGTGGGCCTGGGGAGCACACGTTTCCGGGGTCACGGGGCCGACACATTTGCTCGGCGGGGTGGGGGTGGGGGGGAGCGTGGAGGAGTGACATCATCAGGGGACCCGACGGGGAAGGAGTCTGGAGAGGCGCGCCACGGAGAATCAAGGCCTTCCAAGGAGAGAAAGGGGACTCGGGGTCTCAGGTGCTTTCCTGCCCGCTCGGCCACCCCCCACCCCGTTTTGGAGCCAGCAAACAGATGGACACGTTTTGGTTGTTTTAAGAGTTTTGTGCAACATGAATGAACTTAAAAAAAAAAAAAAAAAAGTGGGTTCCTCATCAGTGCTTGGGCCCCGAGCATCTTTAAGGATCTGGTGGGCGTCCCGGGCTCAGAGGGTCCCCCGATGCTGGGAGAACAGGGCAGTGGGGCTCACACAAGCCCTTCACCAGAGAGAACCTCCTTTCTCCTCTGAGCCTCTCAGGGACAGCGCAAGGCAGCTGTCGCCTGAGAAGGAGGACCAGGGAGGGAGGGGCCGCCTTGGGGCTCACCCCCATTTGCCCTGGTCGGCCTGCCACCTGCCTGTCCCCTGCCCCGTGGCCTCTGGGCACCCCGCGGGAACCCCTATCTCGCCACACACCTCTGCTGCCGGCTTCCTGCTCCAGAGAAAGGGCTAATACCTCTGTGACGCCTACAGACTCCCACGCTTGTCCCTGGAGCCACAGGGCGTCGGCCAAAGGACCCTGAGCCTCTGGGTCCCCCAAGAGAACTCAGCAGGCGTCGTCCCCTGTCCCCTGAAACTGCCGCCGACCACAGCCTGGGCGCGAATACATTAAATAAGAAACTAAAACGTACTGTATGGTTTTCTCTATTAAGGCTCAGATAAGCTGCCCCCCCAGGTCAAGTACTCATGAATGCCACAGGCCCCAGCTGAGGGGCGGGCAGGCAGGTGAGTTGGGGGCAGAGGCCTTCCACATCCCCCCAAAAGTGGGGCAGGGGAGGGGGCAGGATAACGGGGAGCCCTGTGCTGGTCTAGTCAACTGCTGGGGAGTGGGGGTGACCCAAGAAACCCCAGGTCCAAAATGCTGGGGATGCCCCCCGCTTCGGGGAAACCAAGGCTCCGCCTGCCCAAGGAGGGTCCAGGGAAAGCAGCGGGGACAGGAGCTCGTGCCCCAGGCTGGTGGGTCTCCTGGGAACCGCCCCCAGGAGTGAGTGCTTATGGCGGGGAGGGTGTGGACAGGGCCCCCTTGGCAGTCTTGCTGGGAGTCGGGACGCGGGCCCTGTGGATGGCAGGTGAAATTCTGGGTGGCCTGGGTCCTCCCCAGATCAGGACCCCACCCCTGCTTGTCGGAGCCTCCCCAGCGCGTGACCCGAGGGCCGCCCACTGGCCTCCACTCTGCGGGAACCAGCCCGGAGCTGACGGAACGGGAGACCAGCGGCCACAACATCCAGCCTCAGGTCCTCACGGGGGTCTCCCCGGTCTCCATGAACTCGGCTCCGCTCGGCCGGCTCCCCAGGATGACACGAGAGTCAGAACCCCATTGTCTCGTAGGAGGGGCCTGCTTCCTTCGGCATCTGCCCCCCCCCCCCCCCCCCCCCCCGGGCCCCCCCCCGGGGGGGGGCGGGGGGGGCGCCAAACACCCGCGGCCCCCCCCCCCCCCCCCCCCCACCGTGGGCCAGGCCAGAGGGGAAGGCCGGTCGGCTCGCAAACTCCCTGGGCCTCAGACATCATTTTCTGGAGTAGGGGTGGTGGGGAGGAGGAGCGGCTGGGGGGAGGGGGGGTTCTCTGGAGGGTCTGGGGGCTCCAGGAAGGCAGGAGGGCATGGGGAGGCCTTGGCTTGGGCCCCAGGCCCGGCAGGGTGAGCAATCAGGGGGTGTCTCCCTGAGGCCCTGTCTTGGGGGCCCCCGGGGCCGATTTTCCAGTCCGTGAGAAATACTGTGAGAAGAATCTTCGGGGGAGGGGCCTGGCCCAGGCCTGGGGGGGCAGACAGGGAGGAGTGGAAGAGGCCCTCCTAATGCTTCTCTGCTTGGCTGACTTTCAGGGCGCCGATGACGGCGTTGATGTTTTCTTCTGGTACCTGCAGGGGGCAGGAAGGGGGGGCAAGTAGCCACGAGCCCTGGACTGGCATCCCTCGCCCCCTCGCCCTCGACACTCACCAGCGCGTGGTCGAACTTGAAAGTACTGATGTAGTAGGCGGGGATGTCTGCGGCAGCCAGGGGCTCGGAGATCTGGGCCACGATGCCACACTCATCTGGGGACAGAGGTGGGGACGACGCTCAGCCTCCTCAGCCAGCCTTCCGCCCTGCTCTGCTGACAGCGCCTGCCACGCACCCGCAGTGTCTAAGCGCTCCTGCCCCTCGCGCCCTGAAACCTTAGCGCAAGGCCCCTCCGTCCGGGAGCCTTCTCGGATGTCCCTGGCCAGCAACGAGCTCCCCTCTGTGGGGCTCCTCACGGCCCAGCTCTGTCCGGCTTCGGTCCTGTTTCCAGGCCTCCTTCCCCGCCACCTCTCGAGTTCTCCGAGATGGAGCTGTGGCCGACGGGAGGACATGGGTTCATGCCCTCTCTCCTGTCGCCGTCTGACTCTCTTCTAGCCAGAGTGGTCCAGTCACTTCCTCTCTCTGAGCGTAAGCTTCCCCGTTGGAGTCCCCACCAGGTAATGAGTGACCTCTGCCTGTCCTAAGGGCGGTGCCAGGCATTTGTTTGGGGCCCGAACAGGACTTCTGCAAAGTCCCTCGCCTCCAGCATCCTGTCTGTTTTGAAGGCACCATTCAAGGCTTCCTCCTACAGGAAGACCTCCAGGGTGCGAGGACCACTCTGAGTCACCAACACAACCCACTCAAAGTTTTCAGGTGGCTTCTCCCAAAGGCACTGTTCGGATTTTGACAATGGTACATTTTTCCCAACACTGTCCCCGACTGGGTGGGAGAGGCCAGATCGGGTCACCAGGTCCCCCCGTGACTCTGAGGCTGAAGCCTGGAAAACAGCCCCGGCTGCACCACTGCAACACCCCATTATCACCCCATCCAGCCTCCCCTCTGCCCCCTCACTCCCTGGCCCCGGCTCCTGATCTTGTCAGCCCAGCCCTGGACCCGTGTGGTGACCCGCTAGGCTTCTCAAACTCCTGCTTTTTGCTTGGCCCGCCGGGGGGCTCCTGGCTGGACCCGAAGACCCTTTCGGTGGCCATACAGGCCTGGGGCCTGCACATCTGGTGACCCTCTGCCACCAAGCGGTGGAGACTGGTTGTATCCAAGACCCTTTAGCTCCAGACGCAACGATCCCGATAGAGACGGAGGCGGGAGATTAGAGTCTAGAACGACGCCTTTCCAACTGTGGACTGGGACCCATCCGTGACACCCACCTAGAAGGCCGGTGGCCAGCATTTTACAAAATGATGCGACGGCAGAGGAAAAGACCAAATGGCGCAGCGCAGAGCTGGAGCGAGTACGGTTTTGTGCAAACGCAATCTGGGCTGTGTGCGTGTGCGCGCGCGGGGTTAGGACTAGAAAACGTGTTTACTCCAAACCACGCTTGAAAACATATGGGATCTGCCGGTCTAGAATCCTTTGGATTCTCGGGAAGCTATTTTTCTTACGGGGCTATTTATAGCTGGAAGCATGGCTTCGAATCCCGCGGCGTCCCGGGAAGGCAGGCAGACCCAGCTTCCGCGGCCGATTCTTACACACACCCTTTCCCCTGGCTGCCCGCCCGCGGGGCCGCGCAGACAAAAACAGCCTCACGGCGACGCGCAGACGTTGGCCGATGGAGAGATGTTTTGGGTTTCACCCACCCATCCCCTCTGGATCTCTTCTTTATTTGGACTTTCTGTTTTTGTATTCTACGCGGTCTATTTCGATCAACTCGGAACCAGAGCTGGGGGCTGAAAGGCGAGCCGACACGCGTGTCCTCCTGCTTCTGGCCTGAGTCTCCTGGTGACCCCCCGGCGGCCCCCGCTTTGCCCGCCCGAGCTCTGCCGGACGCCTCCACCTTCAGGAAGAAATAGTGCCAGGCCCTTCGGTCTGGCCTTGGCCGCGCTGCCTGTGGTGACCTGACCAGCTCACCCTCTCTACCTTTGGACTCTGCACCCTGGGCACGGCCGCCGGGAGCCACCTGGGTGTCACGTCATACCTCTGCTACTGCCCTCTCCTCCCCGTAGCCGGGTGAATATCCACCAGTAACCTTCACTGGGAAGCCCTCCCTTCCTGACCCTTCTCCAATCATCGGGTCCCTCCATGTGATGGTGACAGCACATGCAGCCTGCTGAGCACCTGGGGTAACAGACACGCGTGCTGTCATCCTTATCTTACATAGTAGGAAACTGAGGCTCAGAGGTTAAGCAGCCTGCCTGCGGTCTCGCTGCTTTCTTCCAGCCCAGGGCTCATCTCCACATCCCCATGACCCTGCACAAGTAGGCGGGAGAAGGGCTGGGGTCTGTGGAGGAGGAGGTCCTGAGAGGCAGGCTGTGGGTCCCAGGGTCGGACCAGGAGCCATCAGTGTACATTTCCCAGCACTCCAGAGAAGAGCCTACTGTCCTGCCCCCAGCATGGCTCTGGCTTTGGCCTTGATGTGAGCAGAGCTGGGGTGGGAGGTGGGGGTGGGGGGACCTGCTAGTTACTGTCCACCTGCAGGCTCATCCAGAGGCGGGTGAGGCAGGAGGCAGGAGGCAGGACATGGCTCCCTTGCTGACCCTTCGCCCTCAGGTCAAAATGCCCTGCCACCTCCATCTCCTGTCCCGGGAACTGAGCGCCCAGGACTGACACGATGGCCCCTGGAGCAGTCGGAGCTTTATCTGGAACATTCTTCACTCCATCTGTGGGAAATCAGTGCTCAGGGCTGGCCGAGGATGCTCCCAGAAACGACTGCCCTGTAACTTACTGACAGCCTCTCCCGGGTTCGAGCTCTGGCATCTGGCGAGTCCAGCCTGAAGAAATCCTTTCTGATGGCTGCATCCCTGGTGACGGGGCCAGCAGCCCCCACCCAGTACCGGGCGGATCGGTGCCACGTGGCCCTGCTACCTACCGAGGGCCCTGAGCCCTGTGGCCCCTTGTAAAATGCTCAAGGAAAACACTATCTGCCCAAAGACACTGTTTGGGCAGTTGTGGAAACCGAGTCTGGACGGAGTCGTGGGGAATCACTGGGGATTTCTTCCCATGGGATCGGTTTGTCGTGGTTACGGAGGAGAGAACAGGAAGGATGAGATATTCAGGGGTGAGTGCGGGGCTGTCCGGAGCCTTACTGGGAGACTGTTCGGCAACTGTATTGATCTACACGAGGGAAACTCATCAAAACAGCAGCAGCCACTGCCTGTGAGCAGATGGGGCTAACGAGTGACTTAAAAACAAGGGCGCTTGGGTTGAAGGAGCTCCTCCCGTCCTCTGCATGCCCGTGCCTCCTGTCGCTCGCCGGTCAAGGGCCCGTGGCGGTGGGGACCTCGGCTCGGCAAGCCTCAGCCTCCCCATCCGCACCGCCGAGTGAGGGACCCCAGACGGAGGTCGGCGATGCTAGCTCCCCCCCCCCCCCCCCCCCCCCACCGGTGTGGGGCCCCACGGGACTCACCAAATCCCAGGGGCTGTCCTCCGATCCGCACCATCTTCCAGAGCTCTCCGGACGCACTCGTGAACAACAAATTACTAGGGAACCTTAACAAAGAGAGAAAAACCAAGAGGCTGATGTTGGTCGTGGTCCCTTGGCCGGCCCTCAGGGCACTGATGCGGGGCCACAGCGAGGGGGCTCGGGAGCTCCAGGTGTCAAGGACCCCCTCTCTGTGCCCTCCTCATCGGGGCAGAAGGGGAGGGCAAGGCTGGGAGCAGGCTTTGGAACAAATGCCCCCCTTAGCCAATTTGCACGAGGGATGCCATCCCCACCCCCGGCCCCAGAGACGGGAAGCGCCCGGACGGCCCCAGGCCTTCGTCTCTGTGAGCTGCTGTCATCTGAAAGATGGGCGCGGCTCACCCACGAGGCAGGGCTGTGCTGAGCACCCACTAGGTACGAAGTAGGTGACGTGCCCACCATGGAGCCAGCCCACCCTGCCCAACTCACCTCTGCTGGGTCTGCACGTCCATCACCAGGGAGATGTAGCCCTCAATGAGGGAGAAGGAGAAGAAGCGGATGTGGCCGCAGTCCTCACCGGCGGCCATGGGGTCCTTCACTCTGGGGGGCCGGGGAGGGGGCGCTGGTGAGGGGGGGGGCAGTGGGCCCCCGCTGCACCCGGACCCCCACCCGGCCCACCTGCCTGCCCACGGGCCTCGGCACACAGTGCTCGGAAGCCTGGGAAAGCCCCAGGACTTGGCCCTGACCCCGCCCTGCTGGGTGACCCTGAACCTGTGCCCCCCGCCCCCCGCAGTCTCGTCATTGGTGAGATACAGATGAGCCCAGGGCGTTCACCAAGGCGTGCACCACACTTCGCAGCACCGGAGACCCGGAAGGCCCCGAGTGCAGACTACACGTGTCCCTTCCTCAGCAGCGTCCTCTGTCCCTGCACCGATCCCAGTCTCAGGGCACAGGCTGTGGTCACTGCCAGCTCACTGGCCCCTGGTCCCACCCCACTCAGCGTTGGCCTAAACTTAAAATCCGCTCTGAGGAAAAATGCAAAGCCTATTGTCTGCTGAACGAAAAATCCCAAGGTCCTGGCTCCTCGACTGACTGGGCTCTTGCCCTTGGACCTCAGGGGACGACAGTGGGGTGTTCATTACATGTACATGTGCACTCGGGGCTTCCCCCAGTTTTGGGGTTCTCCAGGAAGAATGTGTCCCCTCTTGGAGCGGGCCTTTTGGGTAGAGCCGTGATGCACCCCCTCCACCACCAGACCAGCTTTCAGGGCAGGTCTGTGTCTCCCTCCTCGGACTGGGGCTCCCGGGCAGGGTCACGTTCATCCCCCTGATACCCCTGTAGCCTCTCATGCCCAAGGGGGCCGTACCCGTTGGAGTAGAACATGACGTCCATGAGGAGTGTGGCGACCGCAGGCAGCGTGTCAGGGTCCAGGCTGGTGACACAGAACCTGTTGCTTGGGCTGGACAGAGGGTGGATGACAGGCCTCTGGACTGGGAGAACAAAGACATCAGGTGCTCAGGGAAGAGCAGCATCGGGCAGGAGGGCCCGGGAAGGTGGAGGAGACCTGGCCCTTGTCCCTTCTGTAGCCTCTAATATCACCCACAGCTCTCCTGACTCCCTAGGCTCACCTCCCGACCCCCGGGCCTTTGCACATGCCCTGCTGTCTGCCTGGAATGCCCTTTCCGACCTCCACCACTTGGCTGAGCTCCTACTTGTGCCCCAAGCTTCAGTTCGAGAGTCACTGCCTCTGGGAGGTCTGCCCTGATACCCTGGGTGGGTGAGGAGTGGCCTCTGGCCATCGCCGGCTGTGTCCGTGTCTCCCCTCCTTGCTAACCCTTGACAGCAATGTCTGACCAGGATTGTTATGCTGTGTTACGCTGGTGCTTAATGTACGCTCCGCTCTGGGGTGGGACCTGGTAACTTCTAGGGGTCTCCCCTGTAGGGCACCCCCCCGCCCCAACTCACCCATCTTGGGTTTCACGAAGCCATTGGTGATGCCGAGGTTCTCAGCTGCTACCGTCTCGCCATTGACGACCCGCAGGATGGTGAACTCTGATGACAAGGTGTGCGTGACGAAGGGCAGGTCCCGTTCACGCACCTGGGGGCGGGGAGTCAAGGATGTGAGCGGCCCGCGGCCCGTGACCCTCCTGCAACCCTCGGGGGGGGGGGGGGGGAGCGGATGGGAGCCCGGAACCGGGTGTGTGCGCCTCCTCAGGGGCAGCTGGGAGGATGCAGGGCAGAGGACACCGCACGCAGGGCTGGGAGGTGCAGGTCTGTGCCCCTTACTTCCTGGCCCCCGGGTCATAGCAAGCATGGCTTACGAAAGGCAGGCGGTGTGTGGGGCCGGGCAGGGCCCTGAAGCCCCACCTGGGTGGTGATGACCCCTGACCGATGACCCCCAGGCACCCCTGACGTCTCCGTGAGCGGATCACAGGACGGGGCCGGGGACCACTGTGGACCACCCCACCCACGGCCCCGGCGGGCGGGGCCCCGGCTCACCAGGATGAAGTCTGTCTGGTAGGTAGACAACATGAACACGGAGATGTTCTGGTCGGCCAGCGGGGCGATGACTGACTTGGCAATCTTGGTCACGCCGATGGGCTGTGAGCCTGAGAAGCCACCCCCGCCCGACACCACGTTCAGGGCCAGCCAGGTGGCGCCTGCCACGCTCAGGTGCTCCGAGGAGGGCAGCTCTGGGGGAGGGAGGGGAGGACACGGAAGGCAGGCCTGTGACTCCTGGGTCCCAGGTCCTGTGGGGGGGGGGGGGGGGGCGGGGCAGGGCTGCAGGGACAGGGGTGGCTGTGTGACCCCGGCCAGCCCCGCCCTCTGGGCCTCGGTGCCCTCGTCTGTCAAAGGAGGATGGGATCCGGGGTCCCGGGCCGGGAGCACCGAGCAGACACGCGCCAGGCAGCTCAGCAGGGCAGGAACCTCGGTGACAAGTGGCCCTATGGGGCTGGGCCTCCGTGTCCTCCATGATAGTCATACCAACGATGGTATCCAGCAGTCAGTAGTGACTTTGTTATTTCCAGTTCTCGCTCCAGAGTCGGGCTGCCATCACCACCCTCATACTGGTGGAATGGGCCCTGTGGTTTTCATACTGGGTTCCTGGGACCTTCCTAGGGGGCCGGAGGTAGAGGGGAGGCCAGCGCCAGGGCGGGGGGTGGGGGGGGCCCCCCAGGATTTCTCTCCCTGCTTCTATCAGGCTTGCGTCTTGGAAGAACACAGAGCTCCAGGAGGGTTCCTAAGGATGCCACCCGACTCCCTCCAGACAGCCCAGGGATCCTGGGGGTAATCACCGAGGCTCCCTGACCAGCTCACAAACCCCCGGAATCCAAATGTTCACCTGTCCTAGCCGGTCCCGCAGAAGAGCACTCTGAGACTCAGGACTGGAGCCTGGCCCACAGGACGCGGGTACACGCAGGTGCACGTGTCTCCAACGCACAGCTACAGAGTGCACCGCGGGCTGCACACGGGGCTCTCTTGTGCATCACAGGCGTCTGCTCAGACACACCCTGTACCAGGACTGTCATTCCCACCGTAGGCGTGGCGCACCAGAGCGCCGAGGGGGCTGGCGACCGCCCGAGATCCCTTAGCGAGTGAGAGCCAGGATTCAAACCCAGGTCCAACTAGGAAACAAACCTCACGCTCTGTGTTCTGGGCACTGACCCGGAAGAAGGGCCAGGTCCTCAGTCAGGGCGGGAGACCGGAAGAGGGGCTCAGCCACTGGGGAATCAGGGAGGCTGTCTGGACGACAGTGAGGAGGACCGTGCTGCCCTAGGAAGGCTGGGCTGGCCTCAGGCAAGACGGCTTCCAAGGAGGGGAAACCGAGTGAGGCCCCACCTGGACTCCCACCTGCCCAGCTCCGGTTGCCATGGTAACCACAGGCTAGTGAGCTCATTGGTCCTGCTGCTGAGAAAGGAGGATCCGGCCAGGCTGGCTGGAGAGGGAGGCGGCTTCCCACAAAAGGGGAAAGTCTGGGAGGAAGAGCAGGGGGAAAGGCTTTTTAAATGGTTTTATCTTGGGGGAGGGGCAGGGGCAGGGAGAGAGAGAGGGAGACAGAGGATCCGAAGCAAGCTCTGGGCTGACAGCAGAGAGCCCGACGCGGGGCTCGAACTCACGAGCTCTGAGATCATGACCTGAGCTGAAATCACGAGTCGGGAGATACTTTTAGTCTGTTACGTGGGGGGTCAGAAGAGAGAGAGCCCCAGGACAGACCTCCAGAGGAAACATGCTCCCCAGAACCAGGAGCTCAGTTCTGAAATTCTAAGGGGCAGCACTGAGAGCCCCCCCGGGGCTGGGGTGTCCCGACGGTCCACCCCGTGAGTCGCGGGGCCCCGACAGTGGCCAGCCATCTCAGGCACCATTGTAATATATTTGGCGACGAAAATCTTAAGTGTCCCTTTCCATTAGGGCAGAACCCCTGAAGCCTTCTTCGGAAAATTCCGGAAGGCTCACTCATGTTGCCGCATGCTAACACGAGGCCGTGTCAGCTTTGGCATATCCACCCTCTGCCTGCCCATTCCAAGCTGCTCACAACCTGAAAGCACCCAGCGGCTTCCCACATCCTTCGAAGAAAAGCCAAAGTCCTCTCCTCAGTGAGCGCTGTCCGGGGGAGCTCTGTGCAAGGACGGAGGGGGGCTACACCTGCACTGCCCCCAGACGGTCGCCATTCCCACCAGAAGAGATACGGCTGGTGCAAGCGAAGAAAACAGACTGCGAGTTTTATTTAATTTTGGTGCGTTTCAATTCTGATGGCTGCACACGGTGAGTGGTTACCGTCCCGGGCAGGGGGTGCGAGTCCCCGGGGCGTCACCCTCACCGGGGCGCTGGCCCCGGTTGGCTTCATTCTCCGCCAGGCTCAGCGCCCGGCCCGCGGAGGTGTGAGATGAGTGGATGAGGGACGGTAGCAGCTCTACTCTGTCCGGGCCGCACGGTTCCTACCCCCCGACCTCCCCTGTTCCCCGCCCCCCATCCCCCAACTTCCGCCCAGCTTGGTCAGTGCTCCATCACCCTGCCAGACCCGAGGTGGGGGGTGGCCCCCGACATCATCCCTTGCTTGTATCCACCTTCCCAGGATCGGGCAAATGGCCCCGGGGCAGCCGATGCCACTCCCACCGAGGCCATTCCCAGAGCCGGCCAACTTCTCTGAATTTACAATCCACCAGTGGGGACTGATGCCCATCTGCTTGTGGACACACCGGACGCGTAAGAGCCAGGATTCAAACCCAGGTCCGACTAGGAAGCAGACCTCATGCTCTGCTCTGGGCACTGACCAGGAAGAAGGACCAGGTCCCCAATAAGGGAGGGGGCTCCGAAGAGGGGCCCAGACATCGGCGAATCAGGGATGCTATCTGAACGCTGTTCATCTACTTATGGACACACAATAGGCTGAAAAGTCAGCCCTGCTCCCATTTCACAGGGTCGGAAACTGAGGCCCAGAGAGGGAAGCTGACGGTCCCCAAGATCACTGGGTAGTAAATGGCAGGGCAATCTCATTCTGGCACCGTGGAATGCCTTCCAGACCCACCTTGGCCACCAGCCCACCCTGGAGCATCAGGGAAGCCCCCCCGCCCCCCGCAAGGCTTAGCTCCAGGACTGTAAAGTGGAGGCATTGGGCCAGCAGGGGCTCCAATTGGGACACCATGAATCTCACACCCAGGTGTCGCCTTCATGTGGTCTCAGTGGACCCCGTGAGGCCTTCACCGCGCAGGTGGGAGCTCCCCTGCCCCGTGGACCTGAGTTCCGCATTCCAGCGGGGCAAGGTAGGGGGGGGTCTCCCGAGAGCAGGTGGGAGGAGGGCAGAGGACTCAGGCTTCAGGCTCTCAGACAGTGACAAACCCCAAACCCCGGCTCCACCCTGCCCAGGGGAGGTTGCCAGGGAGCTGCTGCAGATACAGCGGGGAAGGCGCGTCGTCGGTGAACCGCTGGGCGTGTGCATGGCTAAGGGGTGCTGGTGCGGCCAAGGCTCTGCTCTGGGGAGTCTTTCTCGGCAGGTTTGGAGGAGTCCCGGGGAGAGAAGCCCAGGCCTGAGGCTGCAAACGGGGGCGTGGGGGTGGGGGTGAGAACACAGGATTTCAGGCCAATCCAACCGTTGGCCAGTCTGGGTCTGCCCGCCCTGCTCCCAGCCTCAGGGCCCCCGCTCCTGGCTCTCGGCCCCGGGACAGAACCCACTGACGGTGGTCAGTTTCAGTCCGGTGGTCACCATACTTCCAAAAGGGCGAGCTTTGCCAGGGGAGCAGAAGCATCTGGAAACCACATTTGTTTGCGGCTTCCCGCCCCCGGGACCTCAGAGCACTGCCCTGGCATTCTAGGGGAGAGGGAAGGCAGGCCTGTCAGGGCCCCAGCCTCACCCCGGGGCCAAGCTTCAGGGTGCCCGAGCTGGCATTCTGGGGCCATGGGGATGAGCTTCCGGGAGGCTGACCAGGAGGCAGGAAGCTTGCCCTTCCCTAGAGGAAAAATGGACCCATTCCAAGACCGAAATGGATTATTTCTGTCACTGCACATAGTACCAGACCCTAAAAATAGCCACTCAGAGCTGAACACGCTCTGTGGTGGAGGAGGTTAACTGGTCTTGTCACCCCCAGCCGCAAAGCGGGGCGGCTCTGTTGCTGGGTAGAGCGCCCCCTGTGCTGTTCACCATACCCCCACGTCCCCAGGACTCCCCTGTTCCGGCTGTGGGACCCGCGGTCCCCCGTGCTACACAGCTGCTACCTTCCCACACAGCCTGTGTGCCTCAGGCTTCTCCTACCCTGCCTGCAGCAGGGTCAAGAGTCCTGGGGTCAGACGGGCGGGTTTAATCCTGCCGATACGACTCTGGGCACAAAGTCAACGCCCCCTCGGTTTCTTAAGTTTTCAAACACAGAATGATGAAATCAGGATCAGGTCCAGAAGATGCTTCGAGGATTAAATGAGATAATCCCCATCAAGCGCTTAGCTAAGCGTCTGGCATCCGAGCCCTCACCACATGCCAGAAACTTTGTTAGTACGTTGCTGGTGGTAGTTTCGATGGTTTCTGGACGGCAGTCGGGCAAAACATAACGAGAGTGCTCTCACTGTGCGGCTTCCCTGGGAAGGAGCAGTTGACACGCGGGGCGATGACAGAGTCACGGGTGAGGCTTCAACCCAAAGGGATTTCAAATGAAGACCCAGGCGGACGGACCACGGCTCATCGGCCACAGAACGCTGCACGTCCGGCTAAAAAGCACATTTTCCAGCTACACAACGTATCTTTGGGTAGCTGTCTAAATGAGAACTGATGTTAGAGAGGGAAGGAGTGTCTCATCCCGCGGGCGCGATGAACAGGACGGGGCTCTTAGTATCAGCTGACAGGTGCTCAGGTGGTTAGGGGTGAGCTGTCCTTCGGATGGTTCAGCAAACGATACATGCGTGCACGTGTGTTTACCGGGAGGAGGGAGAGGGCAACGGTCTTCAAAGGTTAACAGGTGGGGAGCCCCCCCTTCCAGGGGGAGGGCACGGGGGCGGTTACCGTAGTGGGCTCTCAGCCGCGGTGCGGGTCTGAAAACTGCCAAAACGTAAAGAGAAGGGAGGCATGCCTTGGAAGGCTACTTGGTATCAGGGAACGAGCAGGAGACTATACTGGGTGGAATAAAAAGACAGGAAGCATAGCCACTGCGGGCCAGCACGGGGGTGTAGACCGTGGAGCTCTCGCAGGAAGAGATCTGCCGCAAGGCAG